ACAAGATGGAAAACATCACTTTGGCGGTTATGAATAATTTAAAATGACCCAAGATGTAAGGGGAAAAGAGTTCATGAATAGAAAGAAAGGGGGCTAACAATCTGAACTGGCCCCTTCCAGATTCATACTGATGTCGGAGAGGAAAAGGAATTTATTTACACTGCAGTGCCTGGCAGCAAACATGGCTGCCCCTGCCCCCTTTAAATCGGAATAATCTTCACTCCTCCCCAAAACCATCAAATTATGGCCATGTCTCTCCCTGCCTCTCTTCCATAACACAAACACATCGTCTCCTCCCTCAAAACAGTAAAACCCACACCTCCCCATTTCACAACAATCACAATCCCATAACCACTAGCTTCTCTATTCTCTAGTCTTGAAAGAAAGGCACAGAATACACACAAATATAGGAACAAAAGGCCTCCCTTCCTAACACTTTAACGACCTCCATCCCCTTCTTTTCCTCCCACTCTGACGCTAAGTCGATCGTTCTCATCCCTGTCATCATTCAGTTAATTTCCTTCCCTAGCCCAATCCTGTCTTCCAGTTTCCTGCGTCTATTTCCCATCCTCCTATTGCAGCCTGCCTCATCCCTTTCCCTAATCCACCTTTTCCTTCACTTCCATTCCTCATTTCTCCCTTCATTCTCATAAAATGCCCCATTTCTCCAGCAAATTTATCCCCTTCTCCCAGACTCTTTTGGTTCCCACACTCCATCCCCAAACCTCCCTATTTATCAGTCCACCCAGGTCTCTAATCTCCATGCAACTCTTCTCCCCTTTCCCTGCCCCTCCCCAATCCCATCCTTATCCCCGCCCCCATCCCACTTCTCCCAATTCCCAGCTCAGCGCCACTCCGACTCCGATCCCACTCCCACCTCCCCTGCCCCACCCCCCAATTCCCTCCACACCCCCCACCTTGCCATCTGCTCCTCCGTCAGGACCCCCCTCGAGCCCTTTCAGGCCACTCGCTTCCCCTTCCATTCCTCCTGGGGTCTGGCGCCCCATCCCTAGGTCGCCCCCTCCCCGTCGTTTCCTCCTCAGCCCTTCCTAGCACTACACGCGCGCGCGCGCACACACACACACACATACACACACGCACACGCACTTTACCTTCAGTTTGTTCCATTCTAACCCCCCGGCCGTGTCAGTGCGATCACAGGAGAGACACGGAGGCCCGGAGTGGGGCTGGGCTGCGGGCAGCCGCCGGGGCCGCGCGGGGAGGAGGCGGAACCGAGCTAGGCCGCATGAAATCCCCGGGCTAGATTTTCCCCGCGCCGGACGCCTCTGCCATGGCGGCCGGCACCGAGGAGGGCCACGGCCGGGCCGGGCCGGGCGTGCTGCGGGAAGAGGAAGGCTCGGGAGGTGGGGAGGGAAGGGGAGGCCGAGGGATGGGGTCGCCGCGCCGCCGCTGCTGCCAGAGAGGAGCCTACAGCTGGCGGCCCGGCCAGGACAGCAGGGTCCTCGGAGCTCGGCTCGGAATTCGCACGCCTCTCCGCGGCGACCTGTGCACAGTACCCTCGGCCTCCGCCTCCGTGCTGGCCGCCGCCGCCGCCGCTCCCGCCGCCGCCGCGCACAAAGCCCCCCCACCCCGACTCTCGGGGCGCCGCCGCCGCCAAATCCTCAGTCCCTCATTGGCCGCGGGCCGCGGCGCCTGCCGGGAAATGCAGTCCCGGGTTCGGGACGCTGGGGCTCCGGAGGAAGCGGCGAGTCAGCGGGGCGGAGGGGGCGGGAGCGCGAACCAGGAACGCCCGCGGCCGCTAGCTTCTGGAAGACTAGGGAGACTGGGCAAGAGGGCCGAGGGACGGGGAGGGACGGTACGTGAGAGAATGACACACAAAACACCCCGGGAAGCCGGAGGAGGCGTGGAAAGGTGGGGCCCGGGAGGTAAAACTGGGCTCGGCGCGTTCAGTGTGGCTGATTAAAGAACAGCGCGCAACTAGCGCCATATGGCGCTCCTCAGGGTGACTCGGCTCTGTAGCTCCTGGGGTTAGGAGTGACCGTCGCACGGTCCCCGGTGGGTGACCGCGCGAGGGCGGGGCAGTCCAGGCGTCCCCTCGGCAGTCTCCCGTCCTACAGCTGTCAGGGAAGGGCTCCCATTCCAGGAGGGTCTGCATCTGGAAAGCCGGGGGCGATGCAAGACCGCCTTGGCGTCGGTCTCCCTCTCAGCCCCGGCTGAATTGTCAGAGGGTCCGCCTTCCCCGGTTGCAAGCAGTAGGAGGCCGGGCCGGCGGCGCCGGCTCGCTGAGGGAGCGCCCCGATCTCCCCGGCAGGCGCCGGCCCCGCGCGCCTCTTCCTGCTCGGCTGCGGCCCGGAGGCTTGTGGGTAACCGGGAGGACGACGTCAGTGCCGGCCGCATCCCCGGGTGCCCCCCAGCCGCGGGAGACCGCGAAGGCTCCGTGACCGTCACGTGCCGGGGGCCGCGGCTGCTCGCAGCCAGACCTTCGCATCGAGGGACATGAGGTACATTTGTCCTACACGGCCCAGATAAGAACGAGAGGAGGAACCGGGAGGCAACTCTCCGTCATCCTTTAGCCACCCGCATCCTAGGAAACGTATGGAAAACAATGGAAGGTTAAGTGTGTGCACAGTGATCTAGCCCTGCAGGAGTGTGCCGACCAGGTGATATTTCCTGGGGCCTGGTGATAAGGATTTAGAAGGTTACAGCACAGAGATCTGAACGTAAAAAGGAAACACAGGCAGCAAGCAAATGAGGAAACTGATACTCTCTGTTCTGAGAATAAAGCCGTTTTACCGCTAGACGTCATACTCTCTGTAGACGTTATAGTGCTGGATGTCTTTGGTACTATTACAAGAAATTAGATATCTGTTCTCTTTATCATTTAAGGAGATTAAAAGATTCCTACAGATCAGTTATTTAAAAGGGCACTAATTATGAACTAGTTTTTTTTTTTTTTTAAACGTAACCCGGTTAATAATACTAAGGGTGATACTGAGAATTATCAGTATTGGCCGGGCGCGGTGGCTCACGCCTGTAATCCCAACACTTTGGGAGGCCGAGGCAGGCGGATCACGAGGTCAGGAAATCTAGACCATCCTGGCTAAGACGGTGAAACCCCATCTCTACTAAAAATACAAAAAATTAGCCGGGCGTGGTGGCGGGCGCCTGTAGTCCCAGCTACTCGAGAGGCTGAGGCAGGAGAATGGCGTGAACCCGGAGGCGGAGATTGCGGTGAGCCGAGATCGCGCCACCTCACTCCAGCCTGGGCCACAGAGCCAGACTACGTCTCAAAAAAATAAATAAATAAATAAAAATTCTCATTACTATTAATAATTAAATATTTTTAAACATATGCTTTAAGTAGTACCACAGGTTAAAGCTATCAGTAAAAAGCATACTTTTTATTTGTGATATGCCATTTTAAAACACAGATGGCCAAAGCGGGCCACCAAGTCTAGCTTAATTCTATCTCCAGGAAAGAGGGATTAAATTAGTCTTTTTTTTTTTTCTATGAGCCTTTCTACTTCCGTTCTTCGTTTTCTTCCTCCTGTGTCTTCCTTGCTTTGTTGATAAACTGTTGCCTTCACCCGGCACCTGGGTTTCTCCCTTGAGGAGAATCTAGTAAATTGTCCCCAGGGATCTTATATTAGCCTGTTTCTAATAGCTATGCTGACAGCAGGAGTTTAAAATTGGAGTTATGTGAAGTAGATGCATAGTCTTTTCCTGCAAAGCATTACAAAATACAGTTAGTAATACTTGATCTGGTGGCGTATGTAGGAAAATGGCCATTAAAAATAATAGTTTACATTTTCAGTATCTAACATCTTCTGAGGTTTAGACGATGATTACTCTTGCCATAGAAAATGAGCAAGGAACTCATTAAGACAGCAACCTAACAGTTCTCAGGGCCAGAGTCATGGGGAAAAAATATTTTTTTAAAAATTTCTCTTCTGAAGATTATATACAGAAACTCCTTACATGATAAATCTCTTATCCTGAAAGTCAAAGAAATTGCCAAGTCTCATAATTAGGGAAGATGGACATTACTTTGAACAAACGGATTTCAATAAGAAGGGTTCTTAGCCCTTCCCTTTTTAGGATAGGATTGCTGACATATGGCCATGGTAGAAAACCTAGGTCATCTTTCAAATACTGGGCATGGAATCATTCATCTGGTTTATGAATACTTAATGATATTCACTGTGCCTGGTTGTAAGTGAATACAATGCATGAATAAGAATATTTCCCCGTATAAAATGTCTCCCAGGGAACTGAAAATATATTTGCATCCTTTATGATCTTTTCCAGAAAAGTACCAATACATGGTAGTGCAACGATTAATTGATGAAATTAGTATGAAAACTACATCTACCTTCTAGAACTCAAAATTTGACCACCAGGAATTTTCAGTGAGGGAAAAGTAGAGTCCAAAGCTTTGTAGATTTTAATTCTGGTAAACAGAACGTGAAGTGAAACCTTTATGTGCAAAGTTGAACATCAGACATGCACAAAGAGACCTCTAGTGGCCAAACTGAAAAGTTTTGCCTGTTTAACAGTTGATCTATTTGGTTATTAGCTGAAAAATCCTTTGTGGATTAAAAGCAGTCTGCATTTTTTACTGACGTTTAATACCGCCGTCTTCCATTCTTAAAAATGTGTAGCCCAGATGAGTAAAGTCAGTGGTCAGCTCACATGTTAGGAGACGTATTCTCCGTGAGAAAGCGATTCCTTGCTGTATGGTGGTCGAGTAGAGCCACTAAAAAAAAAAAAATTTTTTTTTTTTTTGAGACGGAGTCTCGCTCTTGTCGCCCAGGCTGGAGTGCAGTGGCGAGATCTCGATTCACTGCAACCCCGACTCCCGGGTTCAAGCGATTCTCCTGCCTCAGCCTCCAGAGTAATCGGAACTTCAGGGGCATGCCACGACGCCCGGCTAATTTTTGTATTTTTTTAGTAGAGATAGGGTTTCACCATGTTGGCCAAGATGTTTTCTATCTCCCGACCTTGTGATCTGCCCGCCTCGGCCTCCCAAACTGCTGGGATTACAGGCGTGAGCCACCGCACCCAGCCTAAAAAAAAATTTTTTTTTGAATCTTTCTTCTGGAGCCAGATAAAATGGATGGGAAAAGATAACTGGGGAACGAGAATATTTCTAGATCTTTCATTTTCCCAAGATGGCTCAGTTGGCCATCCTAGGAAATGAAGTGCCCTCAAACCTATAGTGTCTGTCATTTCACAGCTACTATCACATACATTTTATATGTTGAGATTTCTACACAAACTATTAATCACAAACAACACTTGTTAAGGGAACATTGAGGAAGCAAATATTTTTAGTAGAATACAGATTTCCATATGAAGATTTCACAGTATTCCGGCCTCTGGAAAGGAATGCTGTCCTTCCGATTCCCGCCCTTTCTGCGACACCATAAGTCCTCTCCGCGCCCCTTAGGCAGTTCCGGAGTTGCAGGGGCCGAGGGAGAATACATCAAAGTGATGTCATTCATGACTCCGAGATGGTTACCATGGCAACTATCAGACATATTACTCTGTCAGTAGGGTAAGAGCCTGTTTAGTCTTCAATCAAGGGTTTCCTCGGGCGTTAACCACTGCCTGCAGAGTGTGGACTGGCAGAAAAACCCTCGGGCCCCCCAGCACCAAAGCTCCTTAAACCAAGCCCCACAAAGAAGTCACTTCGGCGATGGGAACGTGGCTTTGCGGCTTCCTGGGCTGCTAAGGTGAAGGACGCCCGCCCTCCCCAGAACTTGAGAGCTTATTGGTTGGTGATGTCGTCACTCAGAGTGACATCAGGGGCAAGGTAAGAGGCGGAGCCGTAGAGACTTGGCTTCTGGCCCTTCTAGCTTGGGGGTCCGGGGAAGGAACTGGGAGGACCTAGGCTGCCGATCCGCGGAGCCCGGCCGAGGAGGTAGGGGTGGGCAGGCCCAGCCCTCAGGCCACGACCTGGTGGGCCTCGCTGCCTTTTTTTTCCTCCGGAGCCCGCTCCGTCCGCATCCTGCTCCTCTCATCCTGCTCCTTTAGTCAGCGCCCGATCCAGGCTTCCTGACCGTCTGCAGTTCCCACCACGCTCTCCTCCGCCCACGACCTCATCCCCGCCAGTCCCCAGCACAGTGCGAACTCCGAAGCTCGGCCTCTCCTCCCCCGCACAGCGCGCTCAGTCCTTTCAGTCCCAGGCCCTGCTTCTCCTCGGCTTCATTTCCAACAACCCCGATCATCCACGAGGGTCGTGGTTCCAGTGCCTGTCCCACCCCCGCACCAAAAAACCAAAGCATAACCCCCAGACCCATACAGGCCGCGCACACATCACGGGCGCCGAAACCGCCAGGCGAGGAAGCCCAGGGCGCGTTTTGCTCCCGTGGGGTGATGAGCAAAGCCGAGGGAGCCCGGGAGCAGCGGGCGTGGGGCGGCGCCAATGCGAGTGCGAGTGGTGTCCGCCGCCCGGGAGCGCCGGGGCTCGAGCGGATTAACCGCCGCCTCAGGTGTCGTCTCCCGCCCGCGAAACGCCACCCACCGTTAGTGTGGGTCCAGAGGTTTCGAGGCCCTGTTCAAAATGTCAGCTCTGTGGCTGAGGTTTCTATTCAGGAGAGGCCCTGGAACTCCTTTTCCAGCCGCAAGAGAGCAAAGCTGCCACTGGGAGATGCCAGCTCTTCTGCCGCTCCTCGCGACCCTTAGCAGAAAAGCGCTCCTGGATGGAGAAGGGTTTTGGTGAAGGTTATATACAGGTTCAAAGCTCAGTTTGCGCTCTGGAGAATCACTAGCAAGGGAAACAGTTTTACCTCCACTTGAGCGATTAGTAGGTTCCATGTCTACCTTCATCCACTGCTATATAAATTAAATTAGTGGGTACTTCCAATCTTCAGGGTTTGGTACAGCTTGCCTAAATATAGAACAATGCTAACTGAAAAGAAATTCAGGATGTCCACTTTCTACCTATATTTTAAGGCTACAAATAGATATATATTGCTCTACTTTTTAAGTACTTGGCAATCATTGAAGTTGCACTACTAGATACTATTGACCAGAAATCAAAATGTCTCTGAAGACCGTACCATCTTCATGAGCGACATCATCTTAGAGATCATTACCATTTGTTGGAATCTCAAGGTACCATTCTCAAGTCCAGAGCTAAGAAAATATCTGATTGTTGGACATGAGCTTGAAGGAGATTTTGTATCTTAACTATGCAAATGTTCTACCTTTGCAATAGTTAAAAACACTAAAATCCTGATGTCTTTTAATTGATGTGTTTTTAAAGTACTAAATCGTTTACTTACTCCTTTTGCCTAGGTCCCTATGTTAACTACTTGAGACAAAAATAAATATGGCCTTCTACAGTTATAATCCAGTCTTAGCTATTGCTCGAACAAGGTAAGCATTGGAGTTACCCCCCAATATGAACTTAATTCTTCTTTTTTTTTGTAAATGTATTTATTTATTTTTATTTTTATTTTTATTTTTTTTGAGATGGAGTCGCACTCTGTCGCCCAGGCTGGAGTTCAATGGCGCAATCTTGGCTCACTGCAACCTCTGCCTCCCGGGTTCAAGCTACTCTCCTGCCTCAGCCTCCCGAGTAGCTGGGATTACAGGTGTTTGCCACCACCTCCGGCTGATCTTTGTATTTTTAATAGAGACAAGGTTTCACCATGTTGACCAGGCTGGTCTGGAACTCCTGACCTCAGGTGATCCGCCTGCCTCAGCCTCCCAAAGTGCTGGGATTACAGGCGTGAGTCACCTCGCCTGGCCTGAACTTCATCCTTCTAGATGGAAAGGATATGTGTAAAAGGATTGGTTTAGTACACAATTAAAAGTTTCTTGGAGGCTGGGCGCAGTGGCTCACACCTGTAATCCCAGTACTTTGGGAGGCCAAGGCGAGGGCACTGCCTGAGGTTAGGAGTTTGAGACCAGCCTGACCAATATGGTGAAACCCCGTCTCTACTAAAACTACAAAAATTAGCCGGCATGGTGGCAGGAGCCTATAATCCCAGCTACTTGGGAGGCTGAGACAGGAGAATCACTTGAACTCGGGAGGTGGAGGTTGCAGTGAGCCAAGACTGGACCACTACACTCCAGCTTGGGCAACAAGAGTGAAAATCCATCTCAAAAAAAAAAAAAAAAAAAAAAAAGATAGAAGATGTAGTTGTTTTTTTTTGTTTTGTTTTGTTTTTTGTTTTTTGTTTTTTTTGAGATGGAGTCTTGCTCTGTCACCCAGGCTGGAGTGCAGTGGCCAGATCTCGGCTCACTGCAAGCTCTGCCTCCCGGGTTCAAGCCATTCTCCTGCCTCAGCCTCCCGAGTAGCTGGGACTACAGGCACCCGCCACCTTGCCTGGCTAGTTTTTTGTAATTTTTAGTAGAGACGGGGTTTCACCGTGTTAGCCAGGATGGTCTCGATCTCCTGACCTCGTGATCTGCCCGTCTCGGCCTCCCAAAGTGCTGGGATTACAGGCTTGAGCCACCGCGCCCGGCCAGTTTTTTTTTTTTTTTTTTTTTTTTTGCCCGGCCAGTTTTTTTTTTTTTTTCTTTTTGGGATGGATATCACTTGTTGCTCCAGGTAGCTGGAGTGCAGGTACATCTTGTCACTGCAGCCTCCACCTCCCAGGTTCAAGAGATTTTCCTGCCTCAGTGTTACAAGTAGCTGGGATTACAGACATGCACCACCACGCCCCACTAATTTTTGTATATTTAGTACAGATGGGGTTTCGCCATATTGGCCAGGCTGGTCTTGAACTCCTGACCTCAGGTAATCCGCCAGCCTGGGTTTCCCAAAGTGCTGGGATTATAGGCGTGAGCCACCATGCCCAGCCAGAAGATGTAATGGTTTAGAGTGACATCTCTGTAATTGATGAACATCATGTGAGGTCCTTAGATGTAAAGCCAGTAAAATGGCTGATGAACAGCCAGTCTTAGGGCATATTTGTGTCCCATTACGGTCTGTTACCTTTTTTTTTTTTTTTTTTTTGAGATGAAGTCTCGTTCTATTGCCCAGGCTGGAGTGCAATGGCACGATCGTGGCTCATTGCAACCTCTGCCTCCTGGGTTCAAGTGGTTCTCCTGTCTCAGACTCCCCAGTAGCTGGGATTACAGGCATGCACCACCATGCCCAGCTAATTTTTTTGTAATTTTGTAGAGACAGGGTTTCTCCATGTTGGCCAGGCTGGTCTTGAACTCCTGACCTCAAGTGATCCACCTGCCTTAGCCTCCCAAACTGCTGGGATTACAGGCATGAGCCACCATGCCCGGCCACCATTTATTTATTCACTGAGAATAAATAAAGACTATTCACTGAGCACTTACTTTTCCCCTTTTGGCCATTCAAAGAGTGTTTTATCTTGGCATCCTTCAAAAATAGTCTGAGGCTGGCTGCAGTGGCTCACATCTATAATCTCAGCACTTTTGGAAGCCTAGGCAGGAAGATAGCCTGAGCCCAAGAGTTCAAGAATAGCCTGGGGCCAGGCGCGGTGGCTCATACCTGTAATCCCAACACTTTGGGAGGCCGAGGTGGGCGGATCACAAGGTCAAGAGATCGAGACCATCCTGGCCAACGTGGTGAAACCCCATCTCTATAAAAATACAAAAATTAGCTGGACGTGGTGGCACACACCTGTAGTCCCAGCTACTCAGGAGGCTAAAGCAGGAGAATCGCTTGAACCTGGGAGGCGGAGGTTGCAGTGAGCCGAGATCGCACCACTGCACTCCAGTCTGGGCAACAGAGCGAGACTCCATCTCAAAAAAAAAAAAAAAAGCAGCCTGGATAACATAGTGAGACCTCATCTCTACAAAAATTTTTTAAACTAGCTGGGCGTGGTGGTGTGGGCCTGTAGTCCTAGCTACTCAGGATGCTGAGCCTGGGAGGTCAAGGCTGCAGTGAGCTGTGATCACACCACTCTACTCCAGCCTGGGTTTTTAACACCTTAAGAACTAAACCAGGCATGGTGCATGTGCCTGTAATCTCAGTTCCTTAGGAGGCTGAGGTGGGAGGATTGCTTGAGCCCAGGGGTTTGAGGCCAGCCTGGGCAACACAGCAAGAGTCTGTCCCTTAAACAAAAAGAAAAAAAAAAGAGCCAGGTGTGGTGGCTCACGCCTGTAATCCCAGCACTTTGGGAGGCCGAGGCAGGCAGATCACTTGAGGTCAGGAGTTCGAAACCAGCCTTGCCAACATGGTGAAGCCCTGTCTCTACTAAAAATGTAAAGATTAGCCAGCTGTGGTGGTGGGCGCCTGTATTCCCAGATACTCGGGAGGCTGAGGCAGGAGAATTGTTTGAACCCAGGAGGCGGAGGTTACAGTGAGTCAAGATCGCACCACTGCACTCCAGCCTGGGCAACAGCGTGAGACTCTGTCTCAAAAAAAAAAATAAAGAAAGAACCAAGACAAATTTTTTGTTTGTTTATTTTTGTTTTATTGTTTTTTGTTTTTTGTTTTTTTTGTGAGACAGAGTCTCGGTCTGTCACCCAGGCTGGAGTACAGTGGCACAATCTCGGCTCACTGCAGCCTCCGCTTCCCGGGTTCAAGAAATTCTCCTGCCTCAGCCTCCCGATTAGCTGGGACTACAGATGCACACCACCATGCCCAGCTAATTTTTGTATTTTTAGTAGAGACGGGTTTCACCATGTTGGCCAGGATGGTCTCGATCTCTTGATCTCGTGATCCACCCCCCTCAGCCTCCCAAAGTACTGGGATTACAGGTGTGAGCTACCACGCATGGCCCATATTTTTATTTTCAAACAATCTGATATGGTAGTTTAACTGCAAACCCTGGGCTGTTGCAATACCAGAAGGTAGAGACCCTTAATTGGGGTGCCCAATTCTAATTGTGTGGTTTTTTGGTTTTCGTTTTTTGTTTTTTTTTGAGATAGAGTCTCACTTTGTTGCCCAGGCTAGAGTGCAGTGGCATAGTCTTGTCTCACTGCAACCTTTACCTCCTGGGTTCAAGCGATTCTCCTGCCTCAGCCTCCCTAGTAGCTGGGATTACAGGTGCATGACACCATACCCGGCTAATTTTTGTATTTTTAGTAGGGACTGGGTTTCACCATGTTGGCCAGGCTGGTCTCGAACTCCTGACCTCAGGTGATCCACCCGCCTCGGCCTCCCAAAGTGCTGGGATTACAAGCATGAGCCACCGTGGCCAGCCCTAATGTTCTTGAAGAATTTAGGTGAAGGGTATTTCAGCTGTAAGTTGAGGAGTTCAAAGACACTGAATAGGTAAGGCAGTATTATGTGACTGGTTAATTCCTACAGTGACCATCAAATGTGTCTTTGAAACAATATTCCTTGGCCAGGCATGCTGGCTCATGCCTGTAATTCCAGCACTTAAGGAGGCCAAGGCAGGCGGATCACCTGAGATCAGGAGTTTGAGACTAGCCTGGCCAATGTGGTGAAACCCCATCTCTACTAAAAATACAAAAATTAGCCGGGCATGGTGGTCTGTGCCTGTAATCCTAGCTACTAAGAAGGCTGAGGCAGGAGAATCGCTTGAGCCCAGGTGTCGTAGGTTGTAGTGAGCTGAGATCGTGCAACTGCACTCCAGCCTGGGCAATGGGAGTGAAGAAAAAAAAAAAAGCTGTTGTATTTTGACCGGATGTACTATCTATTTCTTTAATAGTATGTGCTTTATGATAGTGTGTGCTTTGTAATAGTATGTACTTAACTCAGAGGATGTTCTTTTTATTCCAGATTCCCTAGCCATTTTGTCCATCCTACCTGCTCTTCTTATTCCCCATCATGTGCATTTCTTCACTTGCCAGATTCCCATTTAAATAAGACATGTATGAAGAACTATGAGAGCAAGAAGTACTCGGATCCCAGTCAGCCAGGCAATACAGTACTTCACCCAGGAACTAGACTAATACAAAAGCTACACACATCCACTTGCTGGCTGCGAGAGGTTCCTGGCAAACCTCAGCTGGAGCAAGCCCCAAAACATCCACAGGTGACGAGCCCTCAGGCCACAAAAGAAACTGGCACGAAGATTAAAGAAGGCGAACAATCTTATAGACAAAAAATCATGGATGAACTTAAATATTTTTACAATGGATTCTACTTACTTTGGATTGATGCCAAAGTTGCTGCCAGAATGGTTTGGAGGCTGTTGCATGGACAGGTCCTGACCAGACGAGAGAGACGAAGGGTAGGCAAGAATCATATTTGAGAAAGAAAATGTGAAATTAAAATGAACTATTTGGGAACTCAACTATTTAAATTCAATGTAAACTTCATCTTAAAAATCTCAGAGTAGGAATAATAACTGCTGGTGAGAACCAGTTTCTTGTCTGCAACTGACTTACTGTACAACTTTAGTCAGTATTCTGGAATTTGTTATATATTTTCCTGTAGAACGGTTTTTAAAAAAACTTTTATTTTAGGTTCAGGGGTACATGTGCACATTTGTAGAATGGTTATAATTATGTTTTTTAAATTTTTCCAAGAAGCTGAGAGGCTTCATGTTTCAACTGTTGTTAATATGTTAAGCAGATGCATTTTAAAACCCAATTTTGGCTGGGCACGATGGCTCATACCTGTAATCCCATCACTTTGGGAGGCCAAACACAGTGAAACACTGGCCAACACAGTGAAACCCTTGTCTACTAAAAAAATTACAAAAATTAGCCGGGCATGGTGGCAGGTGCCTGTAGTCCCAGCTATCCAGGAGGCTGAGGCAGGAGAATGGCTTGAACTTGGGAGGCGGAGGTTGCAGTGAGCCGAGATCGTGCCACTGCACTCCAGCCTGGAGTGAGATGCCGCTGCAAAAACACAAACAAAAAAAAACAATTTTAAGTGATACAATGCTATTAAAGTATGGACCCTCTAACATAGATGAAGTCTAGGAGATGCCAATAATATTTTTATTGTCATAGACTTCCTTTAAGATATCCCATAAAAATTGCTTCAGAGCTATGGTAAACAGGAAAACCCTGCCTTTTCATTTTTATAAACAGCTGCAGAAAACCTGTCTTGGGTTTTTAACACTTTAAGAACCAAGCTGAGCATGGCGCATAGGCCTATAATCCTAGCTCCTTGGGAGGCTGAGGTGGGAGGATTGCTTGAACCCAGGAGTTTGAGGCCAGACAGGGCAACATAGCAAGACACTATCTCTTGAAAGAAAGAAAATGAACCAAGACAGGGTTTTTTTGGTTTTGTTTTTGATTTTTGTTTTTGGCATGCCCTAAAATAATGAATATTGCATATGCATTTAATTCTATAGCTGTTGAGAACTTGTGTTGATTTCTTCCGCCTGGTTCCATTTATGGTGTTCATAATTGTACCCTTCATGGAATTCTTATTACCAGTGTTTCTGAAACTCTTCCCAGAGATGTTGCCATCAACTTTTGAAAGTGAATCCAAAAAGGTATGTAGGATTTTTTAACTTTAATAAAATTTAATAAACTTTATTAGAGGAGTTTTTAGGTTTACAGAAAAATTGGGTAGAAAGTACTACTTCTCCCCACCCCACCCCATCACAATTTCTCCTGTAAATAGTATCTTGCGTTAGTGTGCTATATTTGTAATGATTAAAAAACCAATATTGATATGTTATTATTAAAGCTCATACTTTAGGGTTCACTCTTTATGTTGAAGCAGTTCTGTGGGCTTTGCAAATGCATAACTTCATGTATCCACCATCACAGTATCGTACAGAATAGTTTCACTGCTCTAAAAATCCCCTGTGGGCCAGGCACGGTGGCTTACGTCTGTAATTCCAGCACTTTGGGAGGTTGAGGCAGGTGGATCATCTGAGCCCAGGAATTTGAGACCAACCTGGGCATCATAGTGAGACCCCATTTCTACAAAAAATGCAAAAATTAGTTGGGCATGGTAGCTCATGCTGTGGTCCCAGCTCCTTGGGAAGCTGAAGCAAGAGGATTGCTTGAGCCCAGGAGGTCGAGGCTGCAATGACCTATGATAGTGCCACTGCACTCCAGCCTGAGTGACAGAGGGAGACCCTGTCTCAAAAAAAAAAAAAAAAAAATCTCCGTGCTCCACCTATTTGTCCCTCTCCCTTATTCCCCCAACCCATGGCAGCCACTGATCTTTTTATTGTCTCTGTAGTTTTGCCTTTTCCAAAATGTCATGTACTTGGGATCATACAGTGTGTAGCCATTTTAGATTGGCTTCTTTCACCTAGCAATATGCATTTCAAGTTCTTTTCATGGCTCAATTCTTTTTATCACTGAATGATAATCCATTGTATGGCTGTCCCACAGTTTGTTTATCCATTCTCCTATGAAAGGATACCTCGATTGCTTCCAGGTTTTGGCAATTATGAATAAAACTGCTATAAACACTTATGTACAGGTTTTTGTGTGGATGTAAGCTTTCAACTCATTGGGGTAAATACCTAGGAGAGTAATTGGTGGATCGTATGGTAAGACTATGTTTAGCTTTTAAGAAATTGCTAAAGTGTCTTCTGAAGTGGCTGTATTGTTCTATATTCTTACCAGCAAAGAATGAGAGTACCTGCATTTGATGTTGTCAGTGCTCCAGACATTAGCCACGAAATAGGTGTGTAGTGTGGTATCTCACTGTTTTGATTTGCAATCTTCTGATGTCACATGATGTTGAGTATCTTTCCTGTGCTTATTTACCATTTGTGTATCTTCTTTGGGGAGGTGTCTGTTTAGATCTTTGGTGGACTTTTTTATCTTTTTTGAGAAGGAGTCTTGCTCTGTCACCCAGGCTGGAGTGCAGTGGTGCAATCTCAGCTCACTGCAACCTCTGCTTCCCGGGTTCAAGTGATTCTCCTGCCTCAGCCTCTCGAGTAGCTGGAATTAAAGGCATCCACACCACGCTCAGCCAATTTTTGTATTTTTAGTAGAGACAGGGTTTCACCATGTTGGCCAGGCTAGTCTTGATCTCCTGACCTCAGGTGATCCACACACCTCAGCATCCCAAAGCGCTGGGGTTACAGGCGTGAGCCACTGCATCCGGCCCTTTGGTTGACTTTTTAATGTTTTTTTTTTTTTTTCCTGAGTGTTATTTTGAGTTCTTTGTATATTTTGGGTAAAAGTCCTTTATCAGATATAATACGCAAATGTTTTCTTCTACTCTGTGGCTTATCTTTTCATTCCCTTAACCATGTATTTCACAGAGCAAGTGCTTTTAACATTAATGACATCCAGCTTATCAGTTTTTTTCTTTCATGAATCATGCTTTTGGTGTTGTAGCTAAAAACTTATTGCCAAACTGAAGGTCACCTACATTTTTCTCCTATTTTATTCTAGAAGTTTTACAGTTTTCTGTCTTACATTTATGTCTGTGATCCATTTTATTTATTTATTATTTATTATTTTTTTTTGAGATGGAGCCTTGCTGTGTCGCCCAGGCTGGAATGCAATGGTGCGATCTCGGCTCCCTGCAACCTCCGCCTCCTGGGTTCAAGCAATTCTCCTTGCTCAGCCTCCTGAGTAGCTGGGATTACAGGCATGTGCCACTACACCCAGCTAATTTTTGTATTTTTAGTAGAGCCAGGATTTTCCCATGTTGGCCAGGCTGGTCTTGAACTTCTGACCTCAGGTGATCCACCCACCTCGGCCTCCCAAAATGCTGGGATAACAGATGTGAGCCACTGCTCCAGGCCGAGTTAATTTTTATGAAAACTATAATGTCAGTATATAGATTCATTTCTCTCTTTTTTGTATATGGATATCTAGCTTTTCCAGGACCATTTGTTGAAAAGATTTTCTCTTCTCCACCAAATTCTAACTTGATTTTAACTGTCAAAAGAATAAAGAGAACAGGCTGGATGCAGTGGCTCATCCCTATAATCCTAGCATTTTGGGAGGCCGAGGTGGGAGGACTGTTTAAGCCCAGGAGTTCAAGACCAACCTGAGCAATATAGCGAGACCCCTGTCTCTAAAAAAACAATTTTTTAAAAATGTAAAACAAATTAGCCAGATGTGGTAGCATGCACCTGTATTCCCAGCTACTTGTGAGGCTGAGGCGGGAGGATTGCTTGAGCCCAGGAGGTTGAGGCTGCAGTGAACTGAGATCATGCCACTGTACTGCACTCCAGCCTGGGCAAGAGTGAGATCCTGTTTAAAAATAAAAGAATAAAGAAAACAGAAATCCACTGTTACTGCGGTGACTAGTGGAACAGTAGGTATGATTTAGTCGGCACAACAGACCTGTTCAGCAGCCCCTGAGAAGAGGGAGCCTTCATTGAGTGTGGCAGTCACCGTGCAGGCGAGAAAACAGAGGCAGCTCCTTCCTTCTCCCCTTTCTGTGCCACTCTACTAGACAGCGTAGACAGCGTACGGTAAGAAGGTGTGAACAAAACATTATAAGAAGACAAAAAGTGCAACTTTTTTTTTTTTGAGACGAAGTCTCTCACCATCACTTGGGCTGGAGTGCAGTGGCACAATCTTGGCTCACCACAACCTCCGCCTCCCAGATTCAAGCAATTCTCCTGTCTCAGCCTCCTGAGTAGCTGAGATTACAGACGCCTGCCACCACACCCAGCTAATTTTAAAGGCAACTTTTAAATCAGTAAGATTGGGAAATTTTTCACAGAAAAGGTAACTTTGGAACTGAGACTTAAAGAGTAAGTGGGATTTTACCAAAGGTATTCTGGATAAAAGGAATAGCATTTAACATGGCTCAGTGGCATGAGAGAGTATGATGTAATCAGAGACCGCTGGTTGGTTATTTGTGGTTGAAGTAGGCAGTTCCAGGGCGTCAATGACAGGAAACAGACAAAGTGATGTGTTGGGGTCAGGTTGGAAGGCATCCACCAGCTTAAGAATTTAGGCTTTCCCTTTGACCATGGTGAATAATGGAAACGGAACGTTTGAAGCAGGGTAGCTGGGTAGATGACATGATTAGATCTGTGTTTTGGAAGAATAATTTTGCTACAGGAGGGGCTGCAGAGGGTAGAGCCAAGAAAGGGAAACCAGCTGGAATGCTAGCCCAAGAGAGAGATGACAGAGAATACATTATGAAATTAACAATAAGAATAAAGACTTGAAGGCTGGGCGTGGTGGCTCATGCCTGTAATCCCAGCACTTTGGGAGGCTGAGGTGGGTGGGTCACTTGAGGTCAGGAACTCAGTACGAGCCTGGCCAACATGGTGAAACCCCATCTCTACTAAAAATACAAAACATAGCCTGGCGTGGTGGCACGTGCCTGTAGTCTCAGCTACTTCGGAGGCTGAGGCAGAAGAATCACTTGAACCTAGGAAGCAGATGTTGCCAAGAGCCAAGATCGTGCCACTGCATTCCAATCTGGGTGATGGAGTGAGATTCTATCTTTAAAAAAAAAAAAGTCTTGAAGACAAATTCGGGATACCTTCACAGGATAAAATCAAATTACAATATTTGACTGCCTGACAATGGTTTAATTTGCTTACATTTAAAATAATCAGCATCGGCCGGGCTCAGTGGCTCAAGCCTGTAATCCCAGCACTTTGGGAGGCCGAGATGGGCGGATCACGAGGTCAGGAGATCGAGACCATCCTGGCTAATATGGTGAAACCCCGTCTCTACTAAAAAATACAAAAAACTAGCCGGGCGAGGTGGCGGGTGCCTGTAGTCCTAGCTACTCGGGAGGCTGAGGCAGGAGAATGGTGTAAACCCGGGAGGCAGAGCTTGCAGTGAGCTGAGATCCGGCCACTGCACTCCAGCCTGGGCGACAAAGCGAGACTCCATCTCAAAAAAAAAAAAAAAAAAAAAAAAAATCAGCATCTAGAATTAATGCCATAACATTCCAAGAAAAGTATTAGTGAATTCAGGAAGATGGGGGGAGTAGAGGAAGTGATTTATCTAAATGTTACCTCTTTCCTGAACACCACTCATTCCCTGAAACATACAAATATGTCTACATCATGGCCACCGTCTCAGAAAATTCTTGTTTGCTTTGTTCCATGGAGAGAGGAGCTTTCTGTTTACATCAGATCACAGCACCATGTATTTCTCTTTCATAGCACTTACCCATTATGCTTCTACATTAATGTGAAGAATTACGGGATTATCATTAGTCACTGATGTTTGTCTCTCCCACTATACTAAAAGTTATTTGATGGCAGGAATTCTTACCTGTTATTGTTCATTTTATCTCCAGTACCTAATACATGGTAGATGTGCAATAAATAAATGGATGGATGGAAGGATATGGATGAATGAAATGGATGACTAAGTGGGTTTTGTTTGTTTGTTTGTTTGTTTTTGACAGAGTCTTGCACTGCTGCCCAGGCTGGAGTGCAGTAACGCAATCTCGGCTTACTGCATCCTCCCCCGAGGTTTAAGCGATTCTCCTGCCTCAGCCTCCTGAGTAGCTGGGATTACAGGCATGTGCCACCACGCCTGGCTAATTTTTGTATTTTTAGTGGAGACAGGGTTTCACCATGACAGGCCAGGCTGATCCCAAACTCCTGACCTCGGGTGATCCACCCGCCTCAGCCTCCCAAAGTGCTGGGATTACAGGTGTGAGCCACCTCACCCGGCCACTAAGTGGGTTCTGATCATGCTATTGTGTGATTTTGTTGTTGTTGTTGTTATGTCTTTTAAGATCTATCTAAAAATCAGTGATTCTTATGATTGGCTGATAATTAGAATCTCCTAGGCAACTTAAAAATATACAGATTCCTGTTCTTCTTTACCACTGAGTCCTGACTGTGGTTTTTTTGAAAATGCTACCATAGTACATTTCTGATGATGAACAAGGATTGAGAAACACCAGCCAACAGTGTCCTACGAGTATCCATTTACTTTTCTTCTGTGTAGTGCTGTGTTCATGTCTATTAGAGCACTTAACTCATTGTATTGTAATTACTTATGTCTGTTTTCTATTAAACTGTAAGCTATATTAGTGTAGAGTCCATTTCCTAGTTTTCTTTGTTTGTAAAGCAAAACCCAGGGCCACTCAAACAGAGTTGGCTCAACTGGCAGACTGAATAGTTTGCACCAGGTTAAGAGATTCTTGTCTGGGTGCCGTAGCTCAAGCCTATAATCCCAGCACTTTGGGAGGCCAAGATGGGCGGATCACTTGAGGTCAGGAGTTCAAGACCAGCCTGGCCAACATGGCAAAAATCCCTACTCTACTGAAAATACAAAAATCAGCCCGGTGTGGTGGCGTGTGTCTGTAATCCCAGCTATTTGGGAGGCTGAGGCAGGAGAATTGCTTGAACCCAGGAGACAGAGGTTGCAGTGAGTCAAGATGGAACCTCTGCACTCCAGCCTTGGTGACAGAGCGAAACTCCATCTCAAAAAAAAAAAAAAAACCAAAAAACAAAATTAGCCAGGTGTGGTGGCACACACTTGTAATCCCAGCTATTTGGGAGGCTGAGGCAGGAGAATCACTTGAGTCCGGGAAGTGGAGGTTGCGGTGAGCCGAGATCGTGCCACTGCACCCCAGCCTGGGCAACAGAGTGGGACTTCATCTCAAAGAGAGAGAGAGAGAGAGAGAGAGAGATAGTATCTCATTCTAAATAATGATAAAGCCTCCCATTGGGGGAACATTTTGGATCTATCAAATGCTTATGATTATTGTATTAGTGAGAAACAAAAGTAAGGAGACAAGTTCCAAATAGAGGCTTCTTTTTACTTGCTTTGGTCTCACAAACCCATTCAGCTATGCCTGAGCATCATGTTATTACATGATGTAGGGATGAGCAATAACAAGGAGACGGTTGTTTTTCCCCCATCTTTATCTACCAATTTGCAATCATGAAGGATTGAGTAACTTTTATTCTTCTACCATTAAGGAAGAAAAACAGAAAAAGAAAATGGCTGTAAAGTTGGAACTAGCAAAATTTCTTCAAGAAACCATAACAGAAATGGCAAGGAGGAACAGAGCGAAGATGGGCGATGCCTCTACACAGCTGTCATCCTACGTGAAGCAGGTGTCCATCTTTTATGTAATGCCAAACAACTTCAGGGTTGGGAGTTATATGAAAAACACATGTCATCATGGATTTCCCAAACTGTTCACCATCTTTGGAATTGCAAATATCTAAATTATGAACGTACAATATTGTAAACATTTAATATTATAAACATTGATAGTAGTTTGCAGAAAAGCCTGTCTTAATCAGCATGTTGAAGACATTGATAACTTCTTGGAAAGAACAGTAGACTTAGAGTCAAACTTCTGAACTCCTGATTTTTCAGCTGATGTAGTTTGACTTCGGATGGATATCTTTTCTTTATACCACGAGACCCATTTCCAGATGTCAGACAGAGTCCCATAAATGCTTTGGTGTCTCTTTCAAATAGCCTATTGGGAAAGTTAAATTAAGTAGGAAACACATTTTAATTGGCCTCTTTGTCCCACTGCATAGGTCCAGACAGGCCACAAGCCCAGCACAAAGGAGATAGTTCGCTTCTCCAAACTATTTGAGGACCAGCTGGCCCTGGAACACTTAGATCGCCCTCAGCTGGTTGCCCTTTGCAAACTGCTAGAAATGCAGACGTTTGGAACCAACAACCTGCTCCGCTTTCAGCTCCTGATGAAACTGAAGTCTATAAAAGCAGATGATGAAGTAAGAGCTTAACCATAGCTCTAGGGAATTAGCAAGGTTTTGGGAGATACCTTAGGGTGCTGTGGGACGAACTGTGCAGTATTGTTTTTGTTTTTGAGACGAAGTCTTGCTCTGTCGCCCAGGCTGCAGTGGTGCAATCCTGGCTCATTGCAACCTCTGCCTTCCGGGTTCAAGTGATTCTCCCACCTCAGCCTCCCAAGTAGCTGGGATTACAGGCATGTACCACCACACCCAGCTAATTTTTCTATTTTTAGTAGAGACAGGGCTTCACCATGTTGGCCAGGTTGGTCTCAAACTCCTGATCTCAAGTGATCTGCTTGCCTCAGCCTCCCAACGTGCTGGGATGACAGGTGTGAGCCACCACGCCTGGATAGAAGTGCAGTATTTTCCATTGGGTCTGGTCATGTTGGGTTCTGACAAAATGAGTGGTTTAAACAACCATTACCATGACAACTTGAACCTTGATTACTCATTTGAGGAGTTGTCATCCCCTTACCCATTTATTGAGAAGGCCATCATAAGCAGTTAGTAATTTGGATGTCTTAGCTGGGACTCATCTAAAGCAGTTAGGACCTGCTGGGAAGGAAATAGCAGCTCAGTAGATTCCTGACAAAGCTCTGCTCCCACACTTGTGCTCTCATACCGGGAAGCTGATGCCAAAGTCAATATTCTGCTGGGCGCATTGGCCTGCCAAGAAGGGGTAGTTGGCTTGGTATGCAAAACATAATGCTGGGAGGAAAAGCAGAGCCTCAACACCTTGTAGAAGAAAGGCACCCTTGGACTATAACTACTAATTAGGCTTTTTGAAAAAATGGAAGGAATGTTTCTTGACTCAGAATCAGCTACTTTATAAGCATTCCGCCTGGGGGAGCAGGTTTCCCAGAACTGAGAAAGCATGATCCCTTTGGCCCCATTTAGATTTCAGTTGTTGCTCTTAGAGCTTTGCAATAAACAACACTGGTCCCAGAAATACCATAGTTTTGGGTTACGCCAGCAGAAACTGTGTTATTTACTGAGGGAGTTTTGTGGATCAGTGTGTCAGGGCCATTTCTGGGGGCGGTGGGGGGACAGCAGGGGAAAACACTACAGGGACATGCAACAAATGGTACATTGTGAGTGTTTCAAGTGAACTACTTTTTTCTAATGAACCATAAAGCTGCCACGGAAGAGAAAAGTAGATATGTCATAACCAGACAAAATGCAGATCAAGAGGGGAAATAATTACACTGATGACAGAATGTTGGGGAGGAGTTATGTAAATATCCCTAATACTGCTAATACCTGTTGGCAGGATTCCCGTTATTTCAACTGCCACCTCCCTACATCGCCTTTGCCTCAGCAGCCAGGGCAAGGTACAAAGTGTCCAAGCCTCCGATTCTGTTTCCACTGACTTACTGGAATTTGGGGATTGCATAAAATTGGAATCAAAAGCTCCAGCTCCATCCCTTACATTTCTTTCAGATAATTGCCAAGGAAGGGGTGAGGGCATTGAGTGTATCAGAACTACAGTCTGCCTGTAGGGCCCGAGGGATGAGATCATTGGGTCTCACGGAGGAACAACTGCGACAACAGCTCACGGAGGCAAGTAGCAGCACCCCTCCGGGGTCCTCTTCCCTAGAAGTCTCTTCTACAATATGCAGACCTCCTTATGTGATTTCTCCTTTGCAAGTGAACCGTCTTACCTAATTTGCCTTATTTCATTGAGCACTGGGATGTTGAAGAACTAGGTTGATTTTTCACTTTGATTGGGATCTCTATCAGTTTTCCATTGCTGCCTACGAAATGACCATGAACTTAGTGGCTTAAAACAACACCAGTATATTAGCTCACAGTTGGTAGGTCAGAAGTGCAGGCTGTCTTCCTTTGGAGGCTGTGGGAAATGACCTGCTTCCAAGTTCATTCAATTTGTTGGCTGAACCTAGTTCCTTGCAGCTGTCGAACTGAGGGCTTTGTTTCCCAGCTGGCTGTGAGCCCAGGGCTACTCTCAGCATCTAGTGGCCACCTGTATTCCTTGCCTCTTGGCCTCCTTCATCTGCAAAGCCAACATCAGAGAACTTCTTATATGCCAGAGCTTCCTTGTGCTTGAAATCTCCAATTTCCCCCGTGTTTGACCTCTAGCCCCAGACTGAAGGTCTCATGTGATTGGTGAGGCCCATCCAAAGATTCTCCCTATCTTAAGGTCAACCGACTTGGGACCTCAGTTACACCTGTAGAATCCCTTCACACAGCACCTAGAATACTGTTGAATAACTAGGAAAGAGTGTGGGTGCTGTAGGGACAAGGTGTCTTGGAGCCACCCCAGAATTTTGACCTACTCCACGTAGTGTAAAGGGTCCTGGCAAAAATTTCAGTTCAAGGCCTGTTATCTGCGTGAATCTGTCTGGAGGTCCCCACTTTGCCTGGTGGCCCACCTGGGGCTGCTTTTCAGTTAGTGCCCCAAACCAACACACGCTGTGGTAACCCATGTTTAATATTTTTCCTCAGATAGCATATTTGTACTTTAAGAGCATCCATGCTTTAAAACAAAGGAGTAACTCCTATTACATTTCATTCCCATCATTGTAAAAAATGCCATGAAGAGTGCGCAGATAATCTTAGGATACCAGCCTTGGCTTGGAAACCATGTTAGGCCACTTTTTCCTCTCATATGTGGGACCAGCTCTGGTTGGAAGACAGCACATTGTAGAGAAAGATCCTTAAAATCATGTATTTCTTGAACGTTGGCTATGACATGGTCACTGCACAAGCTTTGTGAATTTTTTTTATGGTACTTTTTGAATTTTATCTTTTGTGCATATATTACTGATCTTAAGAAGACAGGGTCTCACTCTGTCACCCAGGCTGGAGTGCAGTGGCATTAACACAGGCCACTGCAGCCTCAAACTCCTGGGCTCAAGCAATCCTCCCACCTCAGCCTCCCTAGCTGGGACCACGGGCATGTACCACTATACCCAAATAATTAGAACATTTTTTTGTAGAGACAGAGTCGCCCTGTGTTGCTCAGCCTGTGATTTATTCTTTCACATTATCTACACTTTGTCCAGGAGAAGATACTTGACTGGGTTGACAGTTTAATTGAATTCTCCGAGAGTGATTCCACCATAGTGAAGGAGTCGGCAGGGTACCCACTCAGTGCAGAAGCCAGGGCTGGGCTCCTGTCCGTGTTCTGCCGTTACTCATCACCTGAGCGGCTTGGCGGAAGGGGCGGGGGCGGTGGGAAGGTGTCGGCGAGCGAGGCGGTAGATCACCGCGGATCACTCCGGCTCTGGCGTTCTGTGATTCTCACGTGTCGTTCCCCTCCTGTTCTCCAGTGGCAGGACCTCCACCTGAAGGAGAACGTCCCTCCTTCCCTTTTGCTCCTGTCCCGCACCTTCTACCTGATAGATGTGAAGCCCAAGCCTATTGAGATACCACTCAGCGGGGAGGTGAGTACCTGGGCTCACACCCTCAACGTCCATCCAGCGGAGGCCTCTCCATAAACATTTGGTGTACTCCTGCAGTCAGAGCAGGCATTTCTTTTGGCCTTTTAGAATTTGGCCCAACTGGCTTTATGTTTTAAAAATTCCTGAAAAACCAACCAACCACAACAAAACAAAGGCCAGGCACCGTGGCTCACACCTGTAATCTCAGCACTTTGGGAGGCCGAGGTAGGTGGATCACCTGAGGTCAGGAGTTCAAAACCAGCCTGACCGACATGGTGAAACCCTGTCTCTACTAAACATACAAAAATTAGCAGGGCATGGTGGTGGGCGCCTGTAATCCCAGCTACTTGGGAGGCTGAGGCAGAACTGCTTGAACCTGGGAGGCGGAGGTTGCAGTGAGATGAGATCACGCCATTGCACTCCAGCCTGGGCAACAGAATGAGACTCCATCTCAAACAAAACAAAACAAACAGAAAACTGAAGCCACTCAGACTACCTGCAGCCTTAAGGCTGCTACTGCCTTTGAGCCCAGTTTGAGAATTTTACTAATAGGAGCAGTTTATTCCTTTTCCTTAACTATCTCATCTTCATTAGACGACTTGTGTGTGTGGGTGTTTCTGTTGCATTCTCCTTTTAGACTGAATGTTTCCTGTTCATTTGTCCAGATTCCTATTAGTTTTTAAGCATTGAATAGCTAATCTAGAATGTCCTTCAACTCATTTCCTTAGTGATTTTTCTTCCTGGTGTTGTAGGAAGAGCATAGGATTGGCCCAGTCACTATAGCATCTTGCTCTGGGCCCATCAGAAAGGGCCTCCCGCTTCTATAGCTGGTGGCTTCCTGTCTGACTCAGAACCCCGCATGAGTAAGAAAGGAGACTCTTGTAGAAGATGCTATACTGTGGTTTAGGGGATTAGTCCAAGTACTAAGTGAGGGCCATTTTATATCTTAATTACGCTGTTGACTCCTTGGACAAGCCAAGGAAAATTATCTGAAGTCCAGTATGAAAACCCAACTTCAGGAAACACCATCTTGCTTTCCCTTTTCATATTTCTAGAGTAATCTGGTTTTGGGATTTGTCCAGGAAAAACTCTAGGGAGACTAGGAGCAGTATAGACCATGTTCTAAAAGGCAGGCTAGTGGGTTCTTATTCTATCCAACTCAAGGAACCATTCATGTGAGACAGACCAAAGTCAATAGTCATTCTTAGATTGCTCTCAGGGGCTAGGAAATCTTGGAGGAGCTCACTGTCTCAGCTAAATTTGGGTTCTCAGAATTATTCTAGAGAGCCATCAGCTCTTTATCCAGACGTTGCTTTCTGGAGTGGGTGAGAAAGGAATTAAGGACAAAATGATAAGCTCCTAAGCAATTTATTGGCTTTTTCCCACCCATGTTTTTAAACTTCTATTCTCCATGTATATATACAAAATGAGAACAAGTAGCATGCTAGGTTCTGTGAAGAATAGAGACATCAAATATACTGTAATTTTGGATGTATGTAGCCTTATCCTTCCAAAGTACACAAATAACTTTCAAAGCACAGTGATATATTTGTTTTTCAAATCTAATTCCTAAAGATAGGTTAGCTAGCTATTCTATCACCACCCCCATTCTGATCGTAATCTATAATGCCACTCCTCTCCCCATCTTCCCTGCATTACAAGAGCTTACCATTTTAGTAAATCAGGCTATTTTATCATTTATTATTAGATACTAAAAATGAAAAAGATGCAACATAGACCAAGTTATATCAATGCTATTAGAAAATAACTGAGACCAGGTGCGGTGGCTCATGCCTGTAATCACAGCACTTTGGGAGGCTGAGGCGGGCAGATCACCAGAGGTCAGGAGTTCAAAACCGGCCTGGCCAACATGGCGAAACACCGTCTCTACTAAAAATACAAAAATTAGTAGCCAGGCATGGTAGTAGGCGTCTGTAATCCCAGCTACTCAGGAGGCTAAGGCAGGGAGAACTGATTGAACCCGCGAGGGGGAGGCTGCAGTGAGCCGAGATTGAGCCACTATACTCCAGCCTTGGTGACAGAGCAAGACTCCATCTAAAAAAAAAAAAAAAGAAAAAAAAGAAAAAAGAATAATAATTGAGAAATGGCCTTTTTTTTTTGAGGCTGACAGCAGGACCAGTACCATCAGTGGTTTGCTAATGATTATTTTAAATGCTAGAATCTATCCGAGTGCAACTTTTGTATACAAAGGACTCAAAACTCAAAGAGAAATAATACTAAGTTGCTATGTCAGGGGCATATTTCATGGTACTCATAAAGGGTGGAGCTGGAGGAGGAAGCTAGGGATTTAGTGGAAAGCAAATTGTGCTAAAAAAAAAGGCATTGACTACTATAAAAGTTTCTGGGTTTTAGAAGAGCAGAAAGCTTATTATACATAAAATGTTTCTCTCCCCAGGCTCCAAAGACTGATATTCTTATGGAATTACCTACTTTCACCAAATCTAAAGAGAACATAGTGGATCTTGCACCTCAACTGAAGGGAACTAAGGTTAGACAGTTACTTTCCATTTGGTTAGATTAAAAAATGAAAATAGCAATGGGTCAATTTCTCCTGTTTTAATCTCCTTAATGAAACTGAAATTCAATACAATAATGTTCCTTAATAAGGAATATTTATTGTACTGTTTGATCTGTTTCTAAGAGGAAGCTTATTATTTGGCTGTATGTAATTAGGTTCCAGATTTTGCCTTTTGAATCTTGTGCCAGGATATGAGGTAGCTGTGACAAGTTCCTGGTAGTCAAGGTAGTGGACTGTAGATTAATACATTTTGTTTTAAATCAGTAACCCAACTCTTGGTTCTGATGTTTAAGGATGAAGACTTTATACAGCCGCCACCAGTTACATCACCACCCATAACACCATCAACACCTATTTCATTACCTAAAGGATCAATCACTTCTTCTAAAGAAGCTGTAAGTATCTTTAATAAATGAAAAAGAAAAACCCTCTCCCTCCAGTTATCTTTAAGGGTAGTGAGAATCTAGAATTAGTCCTGTTGCAAAACACTGCACAATTCTTCCTGTTGTCCAAACAGGAAATTGTAGGCTGAACTTTAGTCATCTTATAACCACGTTTTTTACTTCAACTATCCAAAAGCAAAAAACAACCAATACAATTGTGGGTCAGACTAAAACATGCTTACAAGCCAGTTACAATATAGGCAGACCCTTTTTTTCTTATGTGCCAGATGGAAATAGTTTCCATGTGTTGTGTATTTTACACAGGCTTCTGATGTCAGGAAATACTAGCTGGAAAGCAACTTGAATTTCAGGAGAAATGCACGTAAATAAGAAATTATCTATCATCCAGTCTTCCCAATTGGGTGAAGGGATTTGGGGCAAGAGCACAGGGCATGAAGAGTAAACAGTGGGGAGGTTGTGGGAGAGCTGAAGTGGGAAGTGGCTTCTGTGAACCAAAGACACGGCTGGCAAGACAGAGAATCTATTAAGACACATACGGGGTAAGCCCAGAAAAGCATCCCAAGCACACACAGACCTTGTTTTTTGTAAATCTCCTATATCTTTTATTACCAAGGTAAATTATAATCTCAGATTTGACTTTGTGGTCTGTCACTGTTTTGATTAAGAAAACAAAAATGGCATTCACTCCTTAAGAACTTACACGTCTGTGACTAATGCCTACAGTCCTTTTGTTTTTTACACCTAGACACTCCAGGCCAAATCACAAATGACGGCCCAGAACAGCAAGGCTAGTTCAAAAGGAGCATAAGGACTACTTGAGGATGGAGCTCACTCTCTCCAGCTTCCGGCCCTCAACAGTGGCATCTGTAAAGGACCTCCCAGCTAAGACACTGTCTGGCTTCAGAGAGTGGATCAGTCGTTTAGCCCATGGGGCAGTCCTTTGAGGCCTGGTAACCATTCCAGGTGATGTGAGTAGTGAGACCAAATTCAGACCCCTTATAAAAATGTAATTGCAAAGTCCCATTTCCTCTGTGCCATTGTCACCCCACTCAACTTTGTATAAAGCCCACCCCGCACCATGTTGTTTTTTAAATTTCATGTGTACGTCCCTTAAGAGAGGAAATTTTTTGCAGAATGGAATCAGCTTGGCACCTTAGATACCTCTGTCTCCTATGGCTTGGAATTCTGAGTAAGAACTTGGAAGTTCCAAAAACCATTTTAGGAGCACCTGATTAACTTTCTGAATGATCCACCAGTAGAATCAGCACCCTGGAAACAAAGTACCTTATGAGACGGGATGGATATACTCCCCAAAAGATCTTTCTGGATATAATGAAGCTTCTTGGAGAAAATGGGGAGTTAAACAGACTGGCAATCAGAAAGATTTGGCTGCTTCTGACATCCCCCTCTTGGGCCTGCAGAGGCTGCAGCAATCTGCTCGGCAGCCACTCTTCTAGCGCATATGGCTTTCATTAGCCACCATTTTGCTAGGAAGCATAATTAAGGGTTTAAACCTTAATCATTTGTTTGTGTTGGGTGTGTGTGTTTCTGGTCAGTTTGTCTTTCACAAGACTATTTATTAGTCATAGGGGTTGTGAAGGTCTGATATAATCCCTGTGCTACCCAGCAACAAGTATCACATTAGGATATTTATGTTTGGGGTTTTCAGTATTAATATTACTGAAATAATAGACTGCCATGCAGCTGACCAAGGGCTTTCTTCCCTTGGGGAGTGGTTAGAAGGCCAAAGGTATTTCAGCCGTAGGTGATAAAATTAGATTTACTTGCTGTGGTTAGACAGCAGTCAGTTAAAATAAGTAAAACTCAACTGTCCTGTCTGGGATCACCTAAATGAGGAAGGTCACCAGCACTTCACAACAAGAATATGTATTCTACAGTGCTTTCTAAACTTCTGCTCCATCAGAGAAGCCCCACCATGTCCCACTAATGAAGCCCAGTTGTTTGGGAATGATGAATCCCTACTGTGCAAATACAGCAGTCATGGATCCTGCCTAGCGAGGTGATTCACAATACATTTTCCCGTTTCAAAAATGACGGGTGTCTTAATTAGTCGACATTTCAGGTGTTAAATGTGGGAAAAGGATTAGCTAGTTAAACTTGCTCAATCCTGTTTTAGCTGAATGAGTCATAGGTACTGCTGGGCTGTCCTACAGTTCCTTCTGGCTTTCCTTCCGAGCAGGGTGGGAATGAGCCATGACCCGGTCAAAGGACCCGGGCCACTTGATACACCCCTCCTCCCACTCTCCTGCTAGCAGCTCAGAGAAGTCAAGGATGTTTCGTTGTTCTCATCACTTAGGGTGCTTGGCTGTTGGGTTCAATGATCCTTACATCTAATCCCAGCTAGTGGTGTTCTGGTAAATCGTTAACTACCAACTCTGAGGTGGGGGGGGGGAGCCCTGATTTATAGCATCTGGTGATTCCAGTGATATAAATCCTCCCACCATGTTGATTTCAAGCCACTGCCATGGTACCACTGGACAGTGCAGAGCTGGGAGGAGACATGCAGTGTCCCCTGAGAGCCAGCACCACACACCAGACTGGTGCTAGCCTCCCGGGGTAATGAGACAGTTACACCTCCAGTTAGCATGTTTATGAAATAGATCCCTTCTGTGTGCGGAGACCTGCATGTGGGGCAGTTACGGTGGAAATGCTCCTGAATACTGGAGGGTCCACCTAGAGGGAACCCGCCCAGACCAAGTCTTAGCAGTTGGGTTCTTACTGACCACCCTCTTCTCTGGCTCTCCTCAGCAGAGGGAATGGAAGGCTGTTCCGGCTGCTTCAGAGCTTTCTCCTCTCTGCTCCCTTCTCTATAGATGCAGATGCCTTGGCTCTACCTGCTGCTAATGATCTCATTGGGTATCACTTTTGACTTTTTTTTTTTTTTTTTGAGACAGTCTCGCTGTCACCCAGGCTGGAGTGCAGTGGAGCAATCTTGGCTCACTGCAACGTCCACCTCCTGGGTTCAAGCAATTCTCCTGCCTCAGCCTCTGGAGTAGCTGGGATTAAAGGCATGCACCACCACACCTGGCTAATTTTTGTATTTTTGTAGAGATGGGATTTCACCATGTTGGCCAGGCTGGTCTGGAACTCCTGACCTCAGGTGATCCGCCTGCCTCAGCCTCCCAAAGTGCTGGGATTACAGGCGTGAGCCACCATGCCCAGCCACTTTAGGCATTCTCTAAAACCCAACTGCAGTGATGCTAGATGTGGCCTGTGTCTCACATAGAATTCTGCTACAATAGAGAGGTGGTGGCCACTAACACTTATGGCCTTGCACTTGTCTCATGTCTAATTCTATACTTAAATCATTCCAAAACAAGCCATATCAGTGCTGTCCAATCAATTTTTCCGTAATGCCAAATCTAGGCTAAAGAGTTCCTACTCACCACCAACACATACTAGCAGGTAGTAGTTGGACCAATGTGACTTGAGAGCTGACTGGTGGTTCACCTAATGCCAACTGAAACTTCAGCTCGCTGGCTCCACCCAGTGGTAGCTAATAAGCACAGCAACCTCATTAACATTGAGACAGATTTCCTCCCTCATCTGATGTTCAATCTTACTTACCTGAGATCAATACATTACATTAGCAGGGCCAAGGGACCGATGATCTTCAGCCTATGGCAATTAGAAAAGACGGAAAGGCAGTATTGATTACTGCTGTGGTGATCCCAGCCCTAATCTTTTAACCCTCAGGAAACCAGACAGACTCAGTGCCTTGATGGCACAACATCTTCATTAGATAAACTGGATTCCTTTCCTCAGGAGACCCAATCTGGTCCTCTACGTAAAATGGCCATTTCATTTTCTCTCAGGTCAATTTCACTCTCTTTTATGTGACAGCTAGTGCAGTCTTTGGGGAAATTTGTGGGTGATTTGAGTAGTAACAGCAAGGACATCACTGTAATTATGATAGTGCCATATATTTTTCTAGCACCTCTCCCAAGGGCTTATGAAGCCTTTTAGAGTCTTCATCCCTTCACACAACATTGCTTCAAGGTAGGTCCAAAGCAGAATATCATCACTGTTTTACAAGGAAAGACACTCCTGTGTGGTCTCAAAGCAAATGCTTTTAAGAGCTAAAAATTCATTTCCCAGCTCTGTTCACCAAATGCCTTCTTTAAACATAAATACAAATTGTAATGTTAGCAGGTGCGTATTTACAGAGAGAAACAAAGATAATTTTACAATAGTGACCGATACTGTAGCTGCCAAAAAAAATCCTAGCTCAGAAATTTAAAGCAGCAATCCCATTTTCCCTACAGAAATGAAAACATATTGAACGTTCTTTTGTATTTAGCAGTAATCCAGCAAAATGTAAGCTTTAATATAGCGACTGAGGAGTGGTAGTTTGAGCCATGAGGTACCAGGGAGCCAGAATCCGCCTGGTGAGGACAGTGATGACCAGCAGGTGGCAGAAGTAAATTCCAAGCAGCCAAAAAAACAAAAGCATTCGGAGAATTTTCCCCCCTTCCTGAGGGGTAGGGTGGAGTTTGGACAGGAAGAACTGTAAGAAGCCAAGATCTGTGACAGTCCCAATAAATACAGTCTGGTCACAAGGATACAGGAAGGACGATCTGGGGAGGAATACCAACAAGAATCGAAGCCAGGGACCTGAATGCAGAACTAGCCTCAGGTGACATGTTCTCCTGCAGTTACAAGCACCGGCAAAACCACGCCCACACAGATGGGGCAGACACATGTCTGGGTTTCAGTTTCTGCAGACCTTCATCATTTGCTTTCCTTTCTGTTTTCTCTGTCGTCCAGGCTGGAGTGCAATGGCACAATCTCAGCTCACTGCAACCTCCGCCTCCCAGGTTCAAGGGATTCTCCTGCCTCAGCCTCCTGTGGAGCTGGGATTACAGGCGCGTGCCACCATGCCTGGATAATTTTTATATTTTTAGTAGAGATGGGGTTTCACTAAGTTGGCCAGGATGGTCTCGAACTCCTGACCTTAAGTGATCTGCCTACCTCGGCGTCCCAAAGTGCTGGGATTACAGGTGTGAGCAACTGTGCCCTTGGCTACCTCTTAATCACTTTAGCTCTACCTGGTGGCTATTCCTAGGTAGGTGCCCCCTCCCCAGCCCAACCCCACCGGTTTCCTTGGAGGAAACCATCCATGGTGGTTGGCTGCTGGGCCTTGACTCTCCGCCCAGCGCGTCTAGTGCATGGATGGGGTTCCTGCCCTCGACGCAGACATCTTCTTTTTCTGACTTTCCAAAAGTAGCGGAGAGGCAGGAGGCGCGTCGTGAGGTCTGAGTGCAGGACCTAGGAAGAAGAGGTTACAAGGAACCTGCGCCAGGAGCGTGCAGTGCCCTCGGGACAGACCTAGCCCCAGGGCCTGTGGGTGTCTCTTCTTTCCAGTGGACATTCCCACCCTTTTCACACAGCCCATAGAAAAATGAAGCAGCAGCAATTTTTATTGAGGGACCTAAACTGAAAATAGGTTTAGAACATAATTTAAAAAAATAAAACAGCAAAAGTAGCAAAAAATATATGACCTTTTTAAAAACATTTTCCTTTTTTTTCTTTTTTCTTTGTTTTTAATATATAGCAACTGATGCCTCCCAGCCACCAGGAGCATCTTACCCGATGGGTAAATCTCTGGTAACGACCCTTTTAAAAAGACATGTAAATATATACTCAGATTTATACACTTTGTGTTTTCTTCATAGCTATGTACAGAGCCCCCAGTTCGGGGCTGGGCCCCAGGGCCACAACACTGCCCCCAACCTGGCCTTCACCTCACCATCCTCTGGTACCAGGCATTTGGTGAGCAAAGCAAACTAGTATCGGGATTAGTAAGCCACGGGCACCACCCATCTGGAGCAGAGGTCACCTTCGATCGAGGCTCGAAGCACTGACCTCCCTACCGCTGTAGCCCTGAGGACAAGGCACCTGCCACCAGAGTGCAAGGGGCTTACGGGTTAAGGCGAAACGACCAAACCGACACGAGAAAGCTCAGGAAGCTCTCACTTGCATTGTTCATCGGCTCCCACTCCCCGCCCTCCAGGCAGTGCCTGGTGGCAGGGAGGGGTCTTGGTCCAACATCTGGGAGGGGATGAAGTGGCCGGCAGCAAGGATCTGCCTCTTTGCACCTCTCACCAACAGGTGGAGAGGAGGCAGAGGAAGAGGTGAGCTGAGCGGGGTGAAGGCAGGTCACACAGGAAGGCCCCCGGTAGGCAGCGGGCTCCTGCCAGCAGGAAAGGGGACAGGGACGGACAGGCAGTGGGCCTGGCAGGGGCTGTGGGTGAGGGTTACAGCTGACGGTAGAGTCTGGGGAGGGCATGTGGGTGGCAGTCAGCGGCGTTTGAGTCCGCCATTGGCAAGCTGGGCTGGGTGTCGGGGCAGGCAGGGCTCCTCGGGCAGCGGCTCATGAGAGAAGACGGAATCCTCCCCTGAGGAGCATGTAGAGCTCCGGGTGTCGGGAAAGCTCGGGGAGTACTGGTCCAGGGGCATGGACAGGTCCAGGTACTCCTGTGATGGGCGAGAGGAAGCAGTGATGGGCCGGGCCCCTCCTCCCTACTCAGGGAGGTGCATGCACGCAGTGGGGACAGCCTGAGCTCTGGCTCTGGCATGGGCAGCCGTACCTGGTTGGAGGTCAAGGCCACGATGCGGTCCAGGTCTTCCACCAGCTGCTTGAAGGTGGGTCTCTGTGAGGGCACTGCATGCCAGCAGTCCCGCATCATCATGTACCTGCAGCAGGACCGGAAGATCAGGGAGGAAGGGCCGCCTACTGGAGATGGACACCCTCTCATCTAGCGCCTGCCCCTCAAGCCCACTCTTGCCCCAGGGCCTGGCTCAGGGCCTCCGACATCTCCTCAGGCTTACAGCTCGTTGGTGCAGTTACTGGGCTTGTCCATGCGGTGACCCTCCTTCAGCAGCTTGAAAAGCTCCTCCACAGGCACACCAGGGTACGGGGAGCCACCCAGAGTGAAGATCTCCCACAGGAGCACCCCGAAAGACCACCTGCAAATAAGCGGAGAGCCACGGGGTGTCAGAGCTTCTCCACCTCCCCTCCTCCAGCACAAATCCTCCACCCAGGGCAGTGCCAGGAGACAGAGTGGAGAACAGATCAGCCTTTCAACATCTGGAGCAGAGGAAGTGACCACAGACAATGTTTTGTTTTCCTCTGTGGGGTGGAAGGAGGACTCCTCAGTCCAGGGAAAATGCACGACTCTGCAGTGCTAGCAGCTCTCTATCCCACACCTCCCTGGCAATTGCTGTTACAAACTCACACATCACTCTGGTGGGTGTAGATCCGGTCAAACAATGCCTCGGGCGCCATCCACTTCACAGGCAGTCGACCCTGAAAGCAGCACAGGGGAGGTTGGGGTGGCCCCAGGCAGGGCTGTGAGAGCACAGGTGGGAAGGGATGGGGGGGGGTGGGTTCTGAGACCACCCCACTCCTAGCTTCTCAGATGAAACCACCAGCATGGGGCAGCCCTGTTGGCACTCACGTTGGTTGTCTTTTTATAGTAGTCGATGTGGTGAATGTCCCGTGCAAGGCCAAAGTCTGCTATCTTCATCACATTGTCCTCTGTCACCAGGACATTCCTGGCGGCCAGGTCTCGGTGTATGCACTGAGGACGGAGGAAGGGAGAGTGGGAAGCGGGGAGGTGAGGGAGCTGGAAGGCTCTGTGGGGGGGGCTGCCACCCATGCAAACTGGCCGACTTGTGTCATAGGACTTCTGCCACACTGCTCTGCCCCCGAACCTCTGCTTTCCCTCCTCTAATGTTCTCTGCCAGCATTAGGCTTCTCATCACAGCAAGCGCTCCTCCCTTCCCTTCCCAAATGCTGGCCCCTTATGCCTCTGCTGGGTCTGCAGGGGTGCGTGCTCCTAGATCCTGCCTCCCAGCACTACAAGTCCACATGTGGCTGGGCTCAAACCAAGCCAGCCCTTACACACCAAACACTGCACTCAACACTCACAGACAGTTTCATTTTATCCTCATAACAATTCTACAACAGGTATTGTTATACTTTATTTTCTTTTGAGACAGGGCCTTGCTCTGTCGCCCAGGCTGGGGTGCAGTGGTGTGATCATGGCTCAGTGCAGCCTCAAACTCCTGGGCTCACGCTAGCCTCCCATCTCAGCCTCCCGAGTAGCTTGGACTACTGGCACGCACTACCACACCCACTTCATTTTTTTTTTTTTTTTAAAGACGGGGTCTCACTATGTTGCCTAACCTGGTCTCAAACTCCTGAGCTCAAGCAATCCTCCCACCTTGGCCACTGCACCCAGCTGATATTATTCTTATTTTGTATTCGAAGAATTTTAAGATGCTAAGTAGCTGCCTGAGGCTACGCAGAAAGTGGCAGTGCACACATCTGACCTTCTATCAGTCTGACCCCAAGGCCACCTGGCTACATGGGTTCTCCTGACTCTGCGGTTCCCAGAGAGCCTAAGACAACACACAGGGTACACATGGCCAGTGCTCAGTGCATCCACAATGCTACCACAAGATGACAAGTCACAGGCTGGAGGACTAGGGGGGGCTCTGTTCCCACCCTGGCATTACCCAGGGGAGCCTTCAGGTTCCACACCTTCTTGGAGGCCAGATACTCCATGCCTCGGGCCACCTGATAGGCGCAGGACACCAGGTCCTTGGAGGAGAGCTGCTCCTCTGGGTTGTGGCTGGGGTTGTAGCAGTATTCCAGCCCTGGGGGCCTCCGGGCCTGCAGGTACTCCCGCAGGTTGCCCTTGGAGGCATACTCCACGATGACATACAAGGGACCTGCGGGCACAGGAGAAGAGGCCACAGGGCCAGCAGCAGGTGAGCAGGTTTGGCTTCACCTCAAAGAAACCCCATCCCCAGCAGCACACCCTGGCCACCTCCCCTCTCCTGCCTCCTCTTAGGGGACCTGGGAAATCCATTCTACTACCCAAAGAAAATCAGAGAAATAATTATTCCCTGCATAGTCCAGAAAATTCTCAAGCAACATTGGGGTAAGAGCCCCAGTTTGTCTGTTTATTTATGTTGAGATGGAGTCTCACTCTGTTGCCCAGGCTGGAGTGCAGTGGTGCAATTTTTGGCTCACTGCAACCTCCGCCTTCTGGATTCAAGCGATTCTCCTGCCTCAGCCTCCCAAGTAGCTGGGATTAAAGGCATGCACCACAACGCCTGGCTTTTTTTTGTTTTTTGTTTTGGGATGGAGTTTTGCTCTTGTTGCCCAGGCTGGAGTGCAATGGCGCGATCTCGGCTCACAACAACCTCCGCTCACGGCAACCTCCGCCTCCCGGATTCAAACAATTCTCCTGCCTCAGCCTCCTGAGTAGCTGGAATTACAGGCATGTGCCACCACGCCCAGCTACTTTCTGTATTTTCAGTAGAGACAGGGTTTCACCTGTTGGCCAGACTGGTCTCGAACTCCAGACCTCCCTCAAGTGATCCACCTGCCTCGGCCTCCCAAAGTGCTAGGATTACAGGTGTGAGCCACTGTGCCTGGCCTATTTATTTTATTTTTGAGACAGAGGGAGTGTCTCCCAAGCTTGAGTGCAATGGCATGATCTTGGCTCACTGCAACCTCCACCTCCCGGGTTCCAGCAAGTTCTTGTGCCTCAGCCTCCGGAGTAGCTGGTATCATAGGCATACACAACCAGGCCTGGCTAATTTTCATATTTTTAGGAGAGACGGGGTTTCACCATTTTGGCCAGACTGGTCTCGAACTCCTGATCTCAAGTGATCCACCTGCTTTGGCCTCCCAAAGTGCTGGGGTTACAGGAATGAGCCACTGCACCCAGCCTGAGCACTCTTAGCCCATAATTACTCAGCTGCCTCTGTTAATACACCATGTGTGTGAATCTAGGTATCTGTATTCTTGAATGAACACCAATGAGCGGAGCCCAGACCCCGAAATAACACATTTTACCTCTGCTAATGTGGCCTCTCTTAACCCCCCTTCCCTAACTGTGGCTGAGAGAGGCCTTGGGACTGATACCGCAGCTCAGATCTTCTGCCGGCTGGGCAGGGAAGGCCAGTCTGGCCGGTACCCACCATCCTGCGTGCAGGCCCCCAGCAGGTTGATGATATTCTTATGCTTCCCGATCATCTTCATCATCTCCATTTCTGAGATCAGGTCTGACAAGTCTTTCTCTGTTGCGTCCGCTTTAAAGAACATGTTGAGACTCATTTACTTGGGAAGGGAGGGCAGGATAAAAGCTAAGGGAGTGGGGTATGTGTCGAGGGGCTGCTTTTCCCTGGGACTTGATTCTCTCCTCCCCACTTCCATCCAAACTCATTTTCTCTTCCGTCTAATGGGAGTCGTTGTTGCAATAGGTGGTAGTGAGTGGGCAGGGATGTGGTGAGGAAAGCCTGCAAGCGATGGACCCAGGATAAACACCTGACCACGGCCCAGGTTGATACCAAGGAACAGAGTGAGGTCACAGAACAATCTCAGGGTGCAGAACACCCCCTCCACTCCCAGGTAACCCCAAGCAGGCAGGGGAGCAGCTTTGGGCAGCAAAGGCACCAGAGAAGCTGTTCTGCTGGGCCCGAGGCCTGCTGCTTGCTTGGAACGGGACAAGATTTTCTTTGCAAGGACAGAAGCATCACTTACACTTCAACATCTTCACAGCCACTTTGGTCACACGGTTGGGTTTGTCCTTGTCCAACCCGATGGCCTCTGCCAACACCACCTGCCCAAAGCAGCCCTCTCCCAGGGGTTTGCCTAAGACCAGTCTTTCAGGGAAAACAGAGAGTGGCATAAGTTGGGGCTGGTGAAGTTCAAACCTTGAGAGGCACCCCATCTCCACCTCTCTGTATTTCACCCAACTGCAAGCAGAAAGTGGCAATGTTTCTGCAGGCATTTCATGAACCTTCACCGCCCAGAAGGTGTTAGTATATGCACCTTCCACCACTAGAATAGCAAGCAAGGAATGCCTTCAAAAAGTTGGGAGTTAAAGTATTATTACCTGTCCCGAGGCAGCTCCCAGCGAGGGTCTTCAGGAAGCTCATACTCAGAGACCCCTGCTAGCATGGGAGTCCCACTGGAGGAGAGCCGTGATGGCCGAACCAGAAGAACCCCAGAGTTCATGGACGCACTGGAGTCAGCAGACACCTGCAAGGAAGAGTGGGGTCACCCTAGAGCAAGGAGCGGGGTCAGGGGTGACTCCTTTCAATTCCTAGTCAGGGCTTCCCAACAATGGCAGAGACACGTGTCTGTGTATCTGATGTTCCTTCCCCAACACAGAGTGTTTCAAAGACCATGGCAGGCCAGGAGGCCCAACTTCTAGGACTGACCTATTTCTGCCATGAGCTGGCCTTTCTAGACTTCACTCACCTTTAAATTAAGCAGACCAAATGCACCTCTTCCAGCTTGACATTTTATAACTGATCATCACAGTAACAACTCTATTCTCCTGACTCTTTGCAACTACTTTGTCCTGGTTTATGGATTCCTAACTCCCAAAGCACCTTCCAGAATGAGCACAGGTTTCTGAGGAAATGGCCACTCTTGCACACACCCTCCCATGCAGAAGGGTGGGCATACAGGGGACAAGGGTATGGTATGGCTGATAATGGTTTGGCTGTGTCCCCACCCAAATCTCATCTTGAATTCCCACGTGTTATGGGAGGGACCTGGTAGGAGGTCACTGACTCATGGGGGCAGGTCTTCGCCGTGCTGTTCTTGTGATAGTGAGTAAATCTCACGAGATCTGATGGTTTTTTGTTTTTTTGGTTTTTTTTTAGACGGAGTCTCGCTCTGTCGCCCAGGCTGGAATGCAGTGGTGCGATCTTGGCTCACTGCAAGCTCCGCTGCCGGGTTCATGCCATTCTCCTGCCTCAGCCTCCCGAGTATCTGGGACTACAGGCGCTAGCCACGAAGCCCAGCTAATTTTTTTGCATTTTAAATAGAGATGGGGTTTCACCGTGTTAGCCAGGATGGTCTCGATCTCCTGACCTTGTGATCCACCCACCTTAGTCTCCCAAAGTGCTGGGATTACAGGCGTGAGCCACCACACCCAGCTGATCTGATGGTTTTATAAAGGGGAGTTTCCCTATACAAGCTCTCTTCTCTTGTCTGCCCCCATGAGAGATGTGCCTTTTGCCTTCTGCAATTGTGAGGCCTCCCCGGCCACGTGGAACTGTGAGTCCATTAAACCTCTTTCTCTTGTAAATTGCCCAGTCTTGGGTATGTCTTTATCAGCAGCGTGAAAATGGACTAATACAGACAGTCCTCTTCTCTACCCTGCATCTCTGCACTTCTAAGCAGCCCTTGGGGACAGCTCAAATTCATGTTATCAGCTGCACATTCCGTCCAAATAGGACTTCCTCCCAATCCATGTCCCAGGGGTCTGGAGGACTTGCAGTGGGATATGGAGGGTGCAGGAAATTCACGGGCTACACTAGCTTGAAACAGACTCTGGAACACTTAGTTCATGACATTCCACTGTGCCTTGCCCAGAAGCCAGAAAACAAGGCCCAAAGTTGTAGATTAGGGACAATGGAGAGGGCAGGGCATTAGAGGCCCAGAGAGAGAGGTGGTGCTGAGCGTGCAAATCCCCCATCTACTTTCTGTTACCTGTCTGCGCAGAGGGATGCTCTTGGCCAGCTTGTGCACAGCCATCTGGCTGTGGAAGTCGCTCTTCTTGGTGCCACTCTTCATCTTGTAGACGATGACCGACCCTACCATGCAGGAGATGAGGAAGGCCCCTGTGCAATAGATGATGATCTCCAGGTACAGGGGCGAGGTCATCACCGCCGGCCTCTCTTCCAGAGCTGAGTCAGTGCGAAGAGGGTATTAGCAGGCTCGGAGGGCCCCGTCCATGCGAGGTCCCGCTCCATTAGAAAAACAACACCTATCTCCTGTGTCCTGGGAACTTTTAGGGAGGAGAAGAACTACGGCAGGTTCTAGCTAGGACCGGGATTGTGGCACGAGGAGGATCAGACAACCCCCGATCTTGGAGGCTGCCTTCAATGGACTCGAGCCATGGAAGAGGGATGGCCTAGAACCATCATGCTACATCCTCATTAACTCCTGAGCCTCCTCGCTCAACTGGACTGGAGAGGTACAGGCACCCAGGGACCCTGTAAGGGCCAACTGAGAAGTCACTTCTGTGTGCCTTTCTTGGTCTCCTTTGGGAGCCATGGCCCTTCTCTGCAACGCCTCAGCACTGTGTGCGTGTACTTAACATGCAGGGACAGAGGTGTTTCTGAGTCCTCTGTCCCTAAGAAGCCACAGGGTCCCTGAAGGCAGGGTTGGTGCCTCGTTTATTTCTGCGGGCTACAGTACCTGGTGATGGTGGCACTCACAAAATGAGGACAGAGGACAGGAGGGGAACCAGCCTGTGCTCTGCTCAATGTCCCACTTTGGGTCTGTGTCATCTCTGTCGGGGCACACAGGTAAATATTTACTCCTAGCCAAACCACAGGCAAAGCTGACTTAATTTCCAAAAATAAACTTTTCTGGTAGTTCTTACGAATTCTACTTATAGGTTCCAACTCCTAAAACTTAAGGAAATGCGGCGGCAGGGGGCGGGGTTGCATTTTGTTATCTCTTCTCCCACCTTCCGATTAGGATTCACCGCCCGCCCCGCCCCCCATTGCCACAGCAGCTAAGCCAGTTCGGTCCACCTTTCCCTTCAGCACGGAAGGCTGGGAGGCTTTCATCCCAGCACGTGCAGCACTGGTTTCACGGAACACGCTTTGCCCCACAGGTGTGGACACCCTCCTCCTTCCACAGGCCTCCTCCCAACCTTCCCCTTTAAAACCCAGCAGCCGGCCATGGAGGCGGCACCCCTGGGAACCCCCCCCCAGAGAGGCATGAGGCACGACCCCAGACTGAGCCCAGAGGAGAACGTCCCAAAGTCTGACAAGGAGACAGCAGAGCTGATAACAGGGAGAAGTGTTGCTGTTTTTTCTTTCCCTGATGTTGAGGAACGAAGACAATTGATTGGGAGCACATGGGGAGCACGGACAGGACCAAGACAGGGACGACGATAAAAACAGAACGCTTTTCTGCCTCCAGTAGGGGCATCCGTAGACCCTGACAGGCAAGTAGGGCAGAGTGGGAAAGGAGGGGTGAGAGGAGAGGGCAGTGCCAGCAGGAACAGCCAGACCCACATGCAGGACATTCCGAGACAGCAGCAAGCCCTGGCCCCACGGTCACCAGCCACCACCCTGAGCAGGCTGCAGGCTCCTTCCTCCCTGGCTCAACACACAGACTTCCCCTCTTGGGAGAGGAGAGACGGCAGCAGCCAAAGAGGATACATGGGTGTCATGAAGCCTGCTGCGGCTGCCTGAGACAGGCCTTTCTGAAGGCAGCTCAGTTCACCTGTCCAGGCTGACCTCTTTCTCCAAAGGCAAGAGGATGGTAGTACAGAAGGGTGGACTGCCCTTTGCAAGCAGCAAGCCCCACCCCTGGGCTGAGCACCTGAGAAAGGAGAAGAGGCATAGGGCCCTATCTGAGACTTTTCAGACACTCAGTGCCCAGCGGATTGGGGAGGCTGCTGGACCCAAGGACGGAAGGAGCCTGCCCTGGAGGAGTCCGGCTGCAGGGTAAACCCAGATTCCGGGCATGCATTGCAATGGCCAGGGGGAGAGCAGAGGCAGGTGTATGGGTGGGAGGCCTCCGTGCGCCTGCAAAACTAGGGAAGCTCTTCTCTGAGCCGAGAGGATTCAGCTCTGAAAGCTGGGGCAGGATGTGGCACCAGGCAGGCAGGAGCCCATTCTTCCAGCTCTCCTGCCTCTGTGTCTCCCTGAGCCCGGAAATGCATGCTCCCCCCGTGCCCGTGGCAAGGGCAGGACATCGAGAGGAGAAGTTACAGTGTGTACCTTCCAGAACGGTCAACCATGCAGAGTGATGGGAGAGTCCGATAGAGTTACCCGCCAAGCACGTATACTCCCCTGCGTCCTCAAAGGAGACATTTCTTAAGTGAAGCACCTCCATCTCTTTGTCGGTGGTATTAACTCCAGCAGTCTAGAAGAGACAATGGAAGCAAAATGGACAAGCATAGGACATGAGACCTCTAAGAGACGCAGAGCAAGGGAAGGAAACAGAGAGAAGGGGGACCAGAGGAAGAAATGCTCCCCCGCATCTTCTTTGCAACAAGGAACAAACGAAAACCACCAGGCAGCAAAACCTGTTAGAGGAAGAGGGTGAGACCCTTAGGGAGGAACTCCGGCAGACCTGAGAAGATGACGGCTGGTTACGACCCTTCACCAGACGCTGGCAGCCATTGGCCCATCCGAGCATGCGGGCGGTGAGCGGCATGGAGAAATGGGGCCGGCGGGCAGGGGCTGTTTGGTTTCAGGTAAAGATAGCCAGAAGGTGAACACAGGAGGGATGGCGGGGGCTGCAGACACACACATGCGCACACACACACACTCGCGCGCATGTGTGCATACACAGCCAGCAGATGCGAGTATGCAAGGGAATGCCTAACCCCTTCTCTCTTTTTTAAGAGATGGGGTCACATTCTGTCAACCCAGGCTGGGGTGCAGCAGCATAAATGTAGCTCACTGCAGCCTCGACCTTCTGAGCTCAGGTAATCCTCCTGCCTCAGCCTTCAGACTAGCTGGGACTACAGGCACACACCACCATACTTGGCTAATTTATTTAATTTGTAGAGATGGGGTCTTGCTATGTTGCCCAGGCTGGTCTCAAACTCCTGGCTTCAAGCGATCCTCCCACCTCAGCCTCCCAAAGTGCTAGGATTACAGGCATGAGCCACTGTGCCTGGCCTATGGCCCCTTCTCTTCACCACCACTCACTCACACCTTCAGTCTGAAGTACTATTTGTAACACAGCAAGACCGTGTCCCCGTGAGTCCTCGCATCGATCCACACACAGCCAAGGAACACACAGAAGGCAGAGAGGGAGCCCGCAGACACCAACACAATACCAAACCAAACCAGCCTCCCAGGCCGGGTATTTTTCCATGGCTCTGGGCACTAGAAATACAGTAGGGTGGCAAGGACAGTCCGGTACTGGCTTCTCCGCCTGCCCCAGCAGCTTGAGGCCTATGTCAAATCCCCAGCACAGGATCCCATCCATCTCCCCATTACCTTTTGCCACAGGTCTGGTGACAGTGAGCCACGCAGACTGGTTAGCTTCACCAATATAATTGGAAACCTTACACACATACTCCCCGCTCTGGGCCTCTGTCACATTGAACAGGGTCAGCACCTCCGCATCCGAGCTATTAATCCCCGAATGCTGGAACAAACCAACGACACACCAGTCAGTTGGGCAAACGCTGAGACGTGGCCACGCATGTTGCTCCCGTGTAACTTTCAGGCAGGCCCAGGGAGCGAAGGGAGATGTTAAGTGAGATTTATTTTCTTTCCCTTTTTTTTTTTTTTTTTTTTTGAGACAGAGTCTCACTCACTCTGTCACGCAGGCTGGAGTACAGTGGCGTGATATCAGCTCACTGCAACCTCTGCCTCCTGGGTTCAAGCAGTTCTCTTGCCTCAGCCTCCTGAGTAGCTGGGACTACAAGTGCCAACCACTACACAAGGCTAATTTTTGTATTTTTAGTAGAGATGGGGTTTCACCATGTTGGCCAGGCTGGTCTCAAACTCCTGACCTCAAGTGATCTAAAGTGCTGGGATTACAGGCGTGAGCCACTGCGCCCGGCCTTCTTTCCCTTTTAGAAGGACAGAACAAGTGGACTTCAAAAGTCCAAAGCATGTGATTAAAAAAAAAAAAAAAATCACTGCTTCAAATGGAATGTTCTATTTGTGTTTAACCCACTCCCTCCAGGACTAGAGCAGGGGTTGTGAGTGGGGACAGTGGCCAATGACCTACAGAGCAGTTTTAGCACCAGTAGCGAAGAGAAGGGAGGGCCAGTATATCTCTGAGACAGCCAAGCCAGGGGAGGATGAGGTCTAACTCTGGGACAAAGAAGTAAACAACTTTCCCAGCTTCTGGTTCCTTCCTGTTGCGAGATCCACTGGAGATTTAGGCAATTACCTTCCCTGGATTAATGGAGCATTCAGGGACAATGAATGTCTGGGAGTGAGAGGAAAAAGGAAGAAAATGCCATTCATTACTCCTCATATGGCTTAGAATTTATAGGTGGCATCTGTTTTTCCAACTCTTCATAAAAGATGCTCTTATCATGCACCCCACTTGCCAGAAAGATTGTACGTAACTCAGGACGCAGGGCTAAGACTGGGAAATGCTTGTCGGTAAGGCTCTGGTTTCGGGCAATGAAAAGGCAGGGGTCCAAATGCCTTCCTCGCGTAGCTGACCCCAAAGCCCCAGTGACGTTGCTCTCAAAAATTATGACAGACCAGCATCACCCATCCCTGCAGCCCTCTGTTCCCAGCTCACCGACACTTTGTGACCTCTGTCACTAGTCCTGGGGGATGTGGCTAGATCCCTACCGAGATGGAGTGTGTGTGCCTGAAGGGTGAAGAATGATCCCATTTGGGGGCACTGAGCCTGCCCACAGGAACTTGAGCCCTCGAGACACTGGTCTCCTTCCCAGCAGACTGGCCCACGAAGACTGGTGCCGTGATTACCTTCAAGATCTGGACATAAGGCAGGTTGTCTGGACCAATCTTGCTCCCGTTCACCTCGATGTGCTTTAGCCACTGGATATGCGGCTGTGGGTCACTGTACACCTTACACATGAACTCCACGTTGCTACCCAGGGCCACTGTCTTGTTGGCAGGCAACCCTGCTTGCAGGATGGGCCGGTGAGGGGACCGCTCTGTGGAAGAGGGGAGAGGAGGCGCTTGTCATGGGGACCTTGCCAGGGCTAAAGAAGGGTGGGCTCACCTGCGTCCCACTTGGCTTTCCCAGCGATGGGTTGTAAACCTCCCAGCACTTCTGCTGAGCCCAGGCCTCTCAAAACAGAGCTGGGGAAAGGGACACCATCTCTTCAGGCCCTAAGCCATCAGGATCTTCCTTCCTAAGGCGGTCATATTTATAGTCACAGTAAATAGCTCATGCTTTAATGGAGAACCTTCTAACTCAGTTGCACCCCCAGACCTCAGCATAACCTGCTCCTCCTTAAGTAAAACCAGAGTCACTTAGACTCCTGCTGTTCAAAGTGTGGTCCACCAGCAGTGCTACCAGCATCCTTTAGGAGCTTGTTAGAAATGCGGGATCTCAGATCTTACCCCAACCTCTTGGCTCAGAATCTCCTTTTCACTTTTTTTAGAGGCAGGGTCTCACTTTGTCACCCATGCTGGAGCACAAGAGTGTCTTCATAGCTCACTGCAGCTTGGAACTCCTGGGCTCAAGTGATCATCCCACCTCAGTAGCCTCAGTTACTCAGTTGGGACTACAAGTACATGCCACTGCACTAGGCTAATTTTTAAATTTTTTTATAGAGACAGGATCTCACTGTGTTGCCCAGGCTGGTCTCAAACTCCTGGCCTCAAGCAATCTTCCTGCCTTAGCCTCCTAAAGTCATGGGATCACAGGCATGAGTAATCTCATTACACCACCTGGAGTTCATAAGCCACGGCGCCTGGCCACAATCTCCTTTTTAGACCATATTATCACAAGAAGAACACTGACTGAGAGACTCTGTACCCAATGATCTCTAGGGAGTGATTTTCAGAACTCCTAGAAGGAAAACGCTGTGGTAATAGCTCCAAGAGGCTCAACATTCTTCCTAGAGTCTCCTGTGATGCCCTGAAGTTGGCACAGGTGTGCAGTTCTGCATTAGCAAGGTATCTCACCTCTCTGAGCCTCAGTGCCTGTGCTCCTGTGCAGAGCTAGACTAATACCACCTACCTTGCAGGTGTGCCACAAGCATTACAGAGCAGGTATTTAAGGAGCCTGGCATATTGCTGGCATTAAGCGACAGCTCCTGTTGCGCTACATTTAACACCTCTCCAACAGCATCTCCTTCAGGACAGACTCTGAAACCACCTTCCATTTCACAGTGACAACCAGCTTTGACATGTGTTACTGTCTGATCTTAACTCTATTTTACAGATAAAAAAAGTGAGACTCAAAAGGGAGAAGTGACCTGCTCAAGGTGACAAAGCCAAGAAGTGCCAACCGCTATCCTGACTCTGCCCCTAAGAAACCTGGACACCCCGGCTGTGTTCTCCAAGCCCAGCTCTTCCCGCTAAATGCATTCCTCCTGCTGCCTCTGTCCTCTTACCCACGACATCCAGCTGGTAGGTGTGGTTGATGCTGCCATACTCATTCTCCACAATGCAGGTGTAGTTGCCCTTGTCAGAGGGCACCACGGAGTCCATTATGATGCTCCAGGTGGCATAACGGACCTGAGGGGAAATGCCGAAGGGGTACTTTCAGAGTCCGAAGGAAAATGTAGGCAGAAGCCCCATGACAATGTTGGCACCCCGTGGCACCTGCCCTCCATATCAGAGTCTGGTGGCACAGGGCTCCAGGCTGCAGGGTTGGCTAGGACAAGGCGTGGATTGCCCCCACTACCAGCCCGTTCACACTCTGCAAGGTGGTAGATGGGGTGTAAAGACTCTGGAAGTCTCCACTGTGATGTTCAAGGTCATTCGTGATCTGGACAGATGTGCCTTCTGCAAACACTTCCAAATACACCAGGAATGTTCCCAACTGTGCACCTCTCCTATTATACTAAGAATCCAGCCCCTGCTGCCCTTGACAGCTCATTTCAAAAACCATCTCCTCCAGTCCAGTCTCTGGTCAGAACCGTGCTCACCCTTTCCTCTGCCTACCAGGGCACTGATCAGTCTGCTTTTCACGGTAGCCACTCATGGACATTTGACTCTGATGAGACTGGAAAATTTTTATGGGCAGGAACACTGTCTTGTAGCATTTAAAGCATGGTGTCTTGCATGTAGTGAGTGCATGGTGAATTAATTTAAAATGTTTCTGGCTGGGTGCGGTGGCTCATGCCTGTAATCCTAGCACTTTGGGAGGCCCAAGAGGACAGATCACTTGAGGTCAGGAGTTCAAGACCAGCCTGACCAACATGGGGAAACCCCGTCTCTACTAAAAATACAAAAATCAGCCGGGCATGGTGGCCTGCACATATAATCCCAGACACTCGGGAGGCTGAGGCAGGAGAATGGCATGAACCCGGGAGGCAGAGCTTGCAATGAGCCAAGATGGCATCATTGCACTCCAGCCTGGGCAACAGAGCAAGACTCCGTCTATAAATAAATAAATAAATAAATAATGCTTACACCCTTTAAGTTGGTAATTTCACTTGTAACAATCTGTCCTAAGGAAGCACACTTAAAAATGCTGACAGAGATTCACTGCAACATTATTTATTATGGTGAAAAACCAGAAAATACCTAATATCACAAAATAGTTCATTAAATCATGGGACTTTTTTGTTGTTTTTTGGAGACAGAGTCTCGCTCTGTCACCCAGGCTGGAGTGAAGTGACATGATCTCAGCTCACTGCAACCTCTGCCTCCCGGATTCAAGCAATTCTCCTGCCTCAGCCTCCCGAGTACCTGGAATTACAGGAGCCTGCTACCACGCATGGCTAATTTTTTGTATTTTTAGTAGAGAGGTTTCACCATGTTGCCCAGGCTGGTCTCGAACTCCTGAGCTCAAGCAATCTGCCCGCCTTGGCCTCTCAGAGTGACAGGATTACAGGTGTGAGCCACTGTGCCCAGCCAAATTATGGGATTTAAAAATAATGGAATCTTATATGTTTCAAACATTCATGCTTGAAATATATCATGAAAACACTCATGTTAACAAATGACAAGGCAAGGAAATTATTATACATGACGTGATCAACTATGTAAAAACCATATTACACAGAAAGAAGACTGAAGAAATTTTTAAACTTTATTTGCATTTTTTTGCATTTAAAAATTTTAATACATAACCTGTATAGGTAGAAAGTATTACTTAAAACAATGAAAAGCGTGTAATCAGGACTTCCCAGCTTGGCCTCCCCTGTTCCCGTTACTCAACTTTCGCATGCACACACACGTACCTTGTAGCCTCCAATCCTGTGGTCAGGTTTGAATTCTTTGCCATTTTTCAACCAGCGCAGTGTGGGGTTTGGGGTCCCACTGGAAGGGCATTTGAACTTCACTGTCTTGGCAGCTGGCACCGCATGCAATTTCTTTTCCATCTTTTCTGGGGATGTCCAATATGGAGCTACGGCTGCCCGGGGAAAGCCGAGAGAGACAGGCAGGGTGGGGAGGAGCAGCTGGTCAGGCTCAGGAGCAGGGCCCAGGCCAGGACCTGGGGGTGCCCTGCCCATCTGCCCAACACCTGTGAGCAGTGCCTGGCACTTAGCAGAACAGGCACCGTGACCCCATGTGCCCTCTCTTCCTCCCCTTTCAGCCTTCCCCTCCCCTCTTAAACCCAACGCCCAGACCCAAAGGGCAGTAAGATAGGAAACAGTGTCTCACGCATACGGTTTGGTTTGGTGTTATCTGTCTCTTTCTCCTCTGAAGAGGAGTCATCATCATCATCATCATCCTCTGAGGAGGGGAGAGCATCTATGGGAAGAAGAAGGGGCACTGAGGTTCCTCCTAGGGACCCCTAGATTTCGCCAAGGCTAGTGCAGTTCCAGATGAACACAAACACCCTCCCCATGGGGATACCAGTCCCACTTCTCCCTTAGTGACGATCTCTTGGTGGGATGGAAACTGTTTAAGAACAGTTCCTGTGCGTGTTTCCTTCCTTCCCCAAAGCACTGCTCCCACTGCCTGGAAGCCTTCACACTGGGTGGTTCCATCAGGGTCAGCTGTTCCTCTTTAACTTAATTCCGTCCTACATTCAAAGGCTCTCTCTCAACTTGTGGTACCACCTGGGTGTGCTGGTGCCAGGCAGCGTGTATTCTTCTTTGGACGACTGACTACAGGGGAACCCAGGCAGGTCTAGACACATTGTGGCTAGATGCTATTTCCAAACAATGGGCTAAACACTCCACAGTCAGAATTTTTCTAGCATGTGTCCACTAAGGTTTGGGGGCTGCCCTCCCTAACCAGAGCAGATAGGGCACCCAACACCCCGGCAGCTGCCAACACCTCTCCCCAGTATTTATTTCTTGTAAGAACAGGCTTGATACACATGTTATCTCACCCATCAGGGTTCATGCCAGATCTTTCTCCAGTCCTTCCTACCACCTTTGGGGATCTGGTGCCAAGCCCGCACCCCGAGGTGCAAAAATGGCATAAAGAAAATTTCAGCAACGCTTCCTCAACTCCTAGTTTTGTGAAAGTCACATTCTAATAGTGGCAGGTTCCCAAGTTCACAGAGCTCCAGGGCTCCCTGGCTGCCCTCGCACAGCTCCCTTGCAGTGCACCTGGGTTCCTCTCCAGCAGAGCAGGGATCCCACCACCTGTTCGGGGGCTCTAATCACTAAGCCGAGTACCAAGTCCAAATGGCAAGGGAGTGATGGGGTGGAAGCTGGCCGAGCACCACTTAGCCTCCTGGAGATCTGGGCAAGCTGTGGTGGAAAAAAATCACTGGGTCTTAACATCCCAATAGCCCTGGCAATCACCTCCGAGGTGTGTCCTGGAAGCCCCAGATCTCCGGCCCTGGGGCCCACCCCACCTGGTCACCCCTCTGAGAGCCAAGCCACGCGGCAGGCAGGGAGCAATGTTAGTGGGCAGCAGTTTCTGAAGCAGAGTGGGGGCAGACCACAGAGGGGGAGGAGGTTCACCTTCCCCTGATACTGGCAGAGAGGGGTGGAGGGGGTGGGTCTAGGGAGGGGCGAGGGCACGGCTTGGCTACCAACCTGAAACATTGACGGAGAAGTAGGTGGTGTCGCTGCCCGAGGGGCTGCTGGTTACGCAAGCATAGAGGCCGGAGTCCGCGGGCACAGAGTCCTGCACCTCCACCTCCTCCCCTGTGATGCGGGTGCGGTTGCTTTCTGCCAGCTGCACCCCGTCCCGCAGCCAGTTGATGCTCTGCACATCGTCCCGCAGCCGACAGCGAAGCTGCAGCAGGTCACCAGGGTGGACCAGGAAGGACTCCACTTCCACAGGGGCTCCCCAGGGCTGGGCTGCAGCCACCATGGGGCCGGGAAGGGAGGCCAAGGGGCGAAAGAGGAAGACAGGGAGAGGGGAGGAGGGGAGAGACAAAGGGAATTACGCTGGCCACACGGAGCCGCACCGTCCCAGGCATCACTTACTGGAGGCTACTGAGCCGGGGCAGTGGGAGTTGGAGCATGGGTCAGTGGGGAAACAGCTGGCTGCCTGGGAACCCCCATCTCTTTTCCACCCCACTCCTCCAAAAGTCAAAGGAAGAAAGAGGCAAAGTTAGGAAGCAGCTGTAGCAGCATTAAGCGGATCACATTTCATTTCCCTCCATCCTAAGGGGAAAGGTCAGCCCTCCCCAGGACTTCTTTGTGTCCGGAGTTGCCCCCTCCCCAGACACTCAGTTCTTTGCCAAGATCCCCACTTGCCAGAGGAACACCCCATTTCTTTTGGGATAGCTCAGCCTCACCCTTCCCTAGCAACAGCTGAACAAACCCCGCCCCTCAAAACCCCAGCAGCCCCTGCCCAAGTCGAGAGAAGGCAATTTGTCAACCAGGGGCTGACCAGGATGTGTGTGATTCGGCGAGGGTGGGGGTCTCGCCCCCGACATGTCAGATGCACATGCTGGGAGGGGGCAGCCCAAAGAGAGGTCAGCTCAGGGAACCTCTCGCTAACAGGTGTCAGGGCAGGGGATTTGGAGCTGTTGACTATATTAGAACCAGAGCCCACAGCTGCCATAAAACCCACACTTGCTCTGGCAGCAGGAGCTGTTGCACACAAAGGTCCTTTCTCCTCAGCCCTCTGCCTGGGCACACCCTCTCAGGCCCCCCACCATCCACTCTCCCTCCCCGTGCCCCGTCCTTCTCTGTCCCTGGGTGGGAGTGCTGGACCCACCGGGGTGTCCGCACCTCACACAAGATCTGATACCGCCAAGAGCACCTGTCCCTCCCCTGACCAGTGCCTCTTCCCACACGCGTTCAAGAAGGCCCGTGGCCCAGACACACCTGAGTCCACCATGCTGGGCTGTTACCCATCTCCCGAACACACCCCTCTGCACTCACGAGGGGAAATGAAGTTTCTATTTCCTTTTAGGATGTTCAAACGTACTCCTGGCATCTTCCACCTCTCACCTACCACCCACACCGCGCCCACAGCCTTGGAGAGGACTTTTCTCACCATCTGTTCACCCTAAGAGACTCTGGAGAGGAACTGTCGCTCCCCAATGCGATGCACAAGGCTCTGAAAGAGCATGCTCTCCCTCAGCCCCTGCTGTGGCTCACGCCTGCCCCAGCGGCCACAGAGCCCCCGACTGTTTCTGTCCAGCTCTCAATACTCACTCTTCTGTCTCAGCCTAGTTGCTGACTTCTCCTCGAGGGCGGTGCTGACTCCGACTCTGGGTTAGGTGCCCTCCCCTTCCTGGCACCTGTCACGCTGAAGGGCAGTCCTCTTTCTGAACCTGAGTGTGGGGATGTGTCATCGGTACCTTCAAATCCCCAGCGTCTACCATGATGCCTGGCGCCCAGGAAATGCTTGCTCCATAAATACCACACGTGCAGTCACCCTGGCTCTTCACTGCCTTCCTTTCTAAACTCCCTTTTCTCTTTCACTCCCCCTTATTTGAAAGAGAGTCTTTCTGAAGTGCTCAGCAGGCTTCCGCTAGAAACCTTAAGAATGAAAATAGGTGTCCCGCGCTTCAGAAGTGACCAGCAACTGACAGGGACTGACAGTGGTTTCTCTCACGGGGGCTGAGGTTGCAGGCCCAGTCCTGCATTGACCCATGGGCTTTATCTTAAATAAGAGTTGTCAGACACAAGGGTGCTGCTTTAGAAGGGCTCAGACACCACTAGGCTTGCACACGTTTATTTTTGTGAGTCCGGTCAAGGGGAACACCACAAAGGTGAGTAGACCACACAACTGATTAAAAATAAGCTTTTGTGGGCCTTAGAAGAAGTTATTCTTTCCATTTTTAATGGTCTGTGGTTTTGCCAAATGAAGGTAGGGGAAAAGCAGTTTAGACTCCACTCTTAAGGAACAGAGCAGACACTCCTATTGATCAAATCTCATTTCCCTCAAATGACCTCAGTGATTAAATATTTTGCAGCTTGTGATCTGTGCAACCCGTTGGTCAAGAGTAAACTTGAATTCTTACCCTCTGGCAACCCAAGGCCTATTGCAGCCTGGTCCCAGAGACAAAAGCAGCTCCCAAAGACAAAACCGTAGCAAAGAGAACCCCCAAGCATTTATTTTCCCCCAAGAGAAAGCAGCAAAGGAACACTGGCTCTGGTGAGACCCGCTCTAGCTGATACCAGCTTGGATCCGTACCTTCCTGACGGTCCCAACCAGAACGTGCAAACAAAACTCCACTATACGTGATCTCTAAAAGCCTCAAGAACCAGCTCGCTTTCCTCCTGATGCAAGCTTAGACCCCAGCTCCCTTCCAAACGTGGCTCAGGTATGCTCTGTCCTTTCCCTTTCCCAGAACCATCTCGGGATTTTTTTTTTTTTTTTTTTTTTTTTGGTGAGATGGAGTTTCACTCTTTTGCCCCAGGCTGGGGTGAAGTGGTGCGATCTCAGCTCACTACAACCTCAGCCTCCCGGGTTCAAGCGATTCTCCTGCCTCAGCCTCCTGAGTTGCTGGGATTACAGGCGTGCGCCAACACACCCAGCTAATTTTTGTATTTTTAGTAGAGATGGGGTTTCACCACGTTGGTCAGGCTGGTCTAAAACTCCTGACCCCGTGATCTGCCTGCCTCGGCCTCTCCAAGTGCTGGCATGATCCACCACACCCGGCGGGGATGATCTTTTAAACGGCCTCCCTGGGGCTGCAGCTCAGACTCCCGCTTCTAAGCCGTCATGTGCTTGACATTATTTTTCTGATCAAAATCTACCCTGTGTACTGAATAAAATTCACATCCCTGCCTCACCTTCAAGACTCCCTGCAATCGGCTTCCACTCTCTCCAGCCAACCCCATTCTCTCTACCAGAGGCTGTCCCTCCCCACCGCCACCCTCCCCACCCCCTAGTCGGGATGCTTTCAGCCCCAGCTGCATCCTCCCTGGCATGGCAAAGCTTACTCCATCCGGAGGACTGTCAGCGCCACTCCAGAGTCCTCCTGCCTCAAACTACTCAAAGTCCACCATCCAAAATGTCCAGGGACTGGGCGCAGTGGTTTATGCCTGCAATCCCAGCACTTGGGGAGGCTGAGGCAGGCAGCTCACTTGAGCCCAGGAGTTCAAGACCAGCCTGGGCAACATAGTGAGACCTTGTCTCTACAAAAAAATTTAAAAACTAGCCAGACTTGGTGGCACATGCCTGTAGTCCCAGCTACTCGGTGGGCTGAGATAGGACTGCTTAAGCCCAGGAGTTGGGCTACAGTGAGCTATGATCATGCCACTGGGCGACAAAGACCCTTTTTTTTTTTTCTTTTTTAAAGACAGAGTTGCTTTGTTGCCTAGGCTGGAGTGCAGTGGCATAATCTCGGCTTGCTGCAACCTCTGCTTCCCAGGTTCAAGCTATTTTCCCACTTCAGCCTCTGGAGTAGCTGGGACTACAGGCGTATGCCACAATGCCTGGCTTATTTTTGCATTTTAGTAGAGACGGGGTTTCGCCATGTTGACCAGGCTGGCCTCGAACTCCTGACCTCAAGTGATCCACCCGCCTCGGTCCTTGCATCTTCAGTTAGCAAGTGCTGGGATTACAGGTGTGAGCCACTGCACCCAGCCAGACCCTGTCTTAAAACAAAACAAGAAACTAAGAAGCCTTGTTTACAATGTCTCATCTCTAATTTTCTGTAAAACAGTTACTGTCTGAATCACACAAATTCACACTCAATTACATTCTATTTTGTATTGTTTCTATTTTTTTAAACAGCAGACAGGTAATTCACATGCTGTAATATTCATCCATTTAATAGTTTTTGTATATTCAGAGTTGTGCAATCATTCACCACAATCACACTTTAGAACATTTTTACCATCCCCCACCCCTCAAAAAATGCCTGATCCATAGTAGTCACTCCTCCATCCCCTATTCCCAGTCTAAGCAACCACTAATCTGCTTTCTGTCTATGGATTTGGCTATTCTAGATATTTCGTATCAATGGAATCATACAATATGTGATCTTTTGTGACTGGCTTCTTTCACTCAGCATGTGTTCAAGCTTCCTCCATGTTATAGCATAGAATCAGCACTTTGTTCCTTTTAATGACCTAATAATATTCCATTGTGTAGACATACCACATTGCAGTCCTCAATTGACAGACATTGGGTATAATGTTTCTTTTTTAAAATAATAAGTTAAAGTTTCAACATGTTGCCCAGGCTGGTCTTGAACTCCTAGACTCAAGCAATCCACCCACCTCGACCTCCCAAAGTGTTGGGATTACAGGCGTGAGCCACTGCACTCGACCCATATTGCTGCTGCTTTTTTCTTTTTAAACAACTGCTAATCAATTTATTAATAGTTGACTTTGAGCATCTGCAATGGTGACTTCCACCTCAATTCCTGGCTCAATACCGATGGACGTCAACCGCTTAACAATCTCAGAAGGACTGTGCAAGTCAGTGGGTAGATGGTGGATTCTCATCTAGAAATGATCCATGACTCTGAACCTTCACCACAAGGAGATTTTCTTATAGTGAGTCTCGAAGTCTTGGCACGCATTCAAACTGATCCCTTCACCTTGACATTCTTTTCCTTTCCTCCTCTGAATCAAGTCAGCACACACTTTCTCCAGGGATTTTACGCTGTGGCTCATTAGAGGGATTCAAATTTGGTGAATGGTCACCTCCAGCTTCACAGGTGATTTTAGTATCTTTAAAAGCCATGGCTGCAGGGCGACTTCCTGACTGACTTGTTCAGAACAGCGGTGAGTGAGGAGAAGGAGCGGGTGGACTGCAACGCCACACCACCTACGACTGCATCTTTCTCAAAGAGCTGTATTGCTTCTTTTTTTTGAGGCAGAATTTCACTCTTGTTGCTCAGGCTGGAGTGCAATGGCGTGACCTCGGCTCACTGCAACCTTTG